AGGTGAGTCCATTCATACCGCAGGCCTTTAGAGCTGAGGCTGTATTTTCCATCTCAGAGGGTTTCTTACCGCAGCCTGGGCAAAATGTACTCAGCCAAAGTGATGGAGAGACGGAGAAAAAAACCCTTCTCTTTTTTTTTTTTTTGGGGTCCTGTTGTGGGGCCTGAACTCTGGGCCTGGGCGCTGTCCCTCAGCTCTTCAGCTCAAGGCTAGCACTCTACCACTTGAGCCACAGTGCCACTTCCGGCTTTTTTCTTTTTGCTTATGTGGTGCTGAGGAATCGAACCCAGGGCCTCAGGCATGCAAGGCAAGTGCTCTACCACTGAGCCCAGCCCAAAAGAACCCTTCTTTATTCCAGCCTACAGTAGCCAGCATTGTGTGGTCTCATCTGCCATCCTGAAAACCCCACTGAACTGTCAGGCTGGCTGGGAGACGAGTCCCAGAGCTATCATTTGTAAATTGCCTGCCAAGTCCCAGGCCAGCGGCTGGTGATGGAAGGGAATAAAATAGACACAGTCCTTCATTTTCAACCTCACCATAGGAAAGACGGGATGATCAACACTTACATGGTAGAGCTGTTCACAGACTCTATGAGAGAAACTTGGCAAAACCCAGTGTATCACTTGCCATATACATACCAAACATCATCAATAAATTATTAAGTCCCAGCTAGGCACTGGTAGCTCAAGCCTGTAATCCTTGTTATTCAGGAGGCTGAGATCTGAGGATTGTGGTTTGAAGCTAGCTTGGGTAGGAAACTGTAAGAGACTCTTATCTCCAATAAACTGCCAAAAAGCTAGAAGTGGAGCTGTGGCTCAAATGATAGAGTGCCAGCCTTGAGCAAAAAAAAAAAAAAGGTCAGGGACAGCGGCCAGGCCAAGTTTAAGCTCTAAGACTAGCGCATACACTCATATACACACACACACAAAATTATTAAATCCCAGAATGACTCTGAGGGGCAATTTGTCTATATCCCGATCTTACTAACCAGCCTGCAGCTTAGACAGCTCCAAGTGACTTGCCCCAGGGCACCCAGACAGAGACTAGCAGAAGCTGGATTTGAACTCAGGCTCAGACTCCAATGTTCTTTCATGTCTCTCTCAACTATGGCCACACATCTTTCTTTTCCAACTTGAAGGCAGTAGGAACAGTAATCAAAGCAAATCTGCTTGCAGGTGGGTGGTGAGCTAGGATTGTTAGAGTGAGCCATCTAGTGCTCTAATGCCAAGTGCCATACAGGCTTTTGTTTGCTGATTACATACTGGCCACAGCACACCAGTGCAGCATCTGATCTCTCCACCAACTGCATGAACAGGGCCACTGGGCCCAGACAATATGTAGAGCCTTTAATGAATTCCCTTCCAGTCCTTTCAGAACGAATGGGAGAATGAATGCATAAATAAATGGAAACAGTAATTGATTTCTTAGTTCCTGTGGCAATTTCCTGGCTGAGCTTGCTATGATGAGTCAGTCCGAATTCAGTTCCCTTCCCAACTGTTCAGTTTCTGAAATCCTTTTAAAGCAAACACACAGAGAGATGAACAATCCATTGTGATGTGGAGCCTGGCACTCAGTGAGCGCTCAGATGGCGGCTCTTCCAGGTCCGGACCCCTGTGTGCCATCTGCTAGGGTCTCTTCCAAAGCAAATGTATGCCCTTGGCCTGGAGATGGATTGTTCCCCAACGGGTCTGTTTGTCTCTGGGAACTCTGGCCATGTCCATTTCCTGCCTGAAGGCATAACCATTTGGCAGGTGGTCATCCACACCTGAACTGATGGTGCCTCCCGGGCAGTCTGGTTTGGGGTGGGGGGAGGTCACTGAAGGTTTGGACAACAGCCTATCTGACCCAGGTCTCATGGGCTGTAGTGTCCTCTTGGTAGCAGCAGCTCACGTCCCTGGTCCCCTCCAAAGGCCATGGCATCATCTACAGAGAGCGTGCACAACCCACTTCATGCCTCTTATTAATAAATCAGCTACTCGTGTGTCCAGGCCTGAGTGGGAAGCTGGCAACAGTCCAAGCCCAGTGCCGACCCACAGTGGACAGACAAAACATGGTTTGTAGTGCTGTAGCACTAAGAGTTGGGGATGTTTGTCACTGTGGTGTAACCTTACCTATCCTGACTGATACACAGGGAAAGCTTTTACAATAATAGATTTCAAGTTCTATTCATTCATAGAGCATGCACTCTTTGGGCTTTCATCTCAAGACAGGAGGGCATGAGGTCAGACAGATCCCTGCTCTCCAGTGGCTTGCAGGTGATGAGGAAGCTGACCACATTGAGCCTGAGAGCAGGCCAGGCTACAAGGGGCCCCTGTGAATGGAGGCAGAGAAGCAACTCCCCAAAAAGGAAATGAAGCATGAAGACTGTTAGTTTTTCCCAGGGAGAAGGACAAGCCACTGCTGGGAGGGTGGAGGAGGAGAGGCTGGCTAGCGGGCCGTAGGCTCCGGGTGACTCTAGGATTTATTGCTACATTTCATTACTGGCTCTCAAGGGGCTCCAGAAAACAATTAGTGGATCCAATGCATTAGAGTAATTCCTCTTTTACATTCCTAACTCAAGATAATGACAGCTTTCTTGCAATTAGAGAGGGTCTTCTCTGTGTGCAGATTAATTGGGTGTTAAATAACCAGGGCTGCCTGAAGCCACACAGTGAGCTGGAATGAATGAGAAGTAAAGCAGCAGTGGGGGTAGAGTGGGGAGGGTGAGGAATCCATTCAGGATCAGCTGGAGACGGGAAGATGCCCTACCAATCACCACAAGCACTTGTGGAGGAGAGGGTGGGTGTGGCTATGCCATCTACGTGCCCGCTCCTGTTTACAAAGCTTTGGACAGTCGCAGCATATTATAAATGCTCCATAAGTCTTACAGGGCTTACTATGGGCCCACATTTCCACTCCGCAGTGCCACAATATTTGGCTAAGCGTCCTCTATGTGTCCAAAGCTTCCTAGACAGCCTGTGGTGCTATTCCAAAGTGGTGGGGCCTACAGGAAGAAGGGGTGGGGCTTATGGGAACAAGGGATGGGGCCTACAGGAAGAGGGGAGTAGAGCCTATAGGAAGAAGGGAGTGAGGCCTACAGGAAGAAGAGGGTGGAGCCTACAGGAAGAAGTTAGGTAGGTCCCTGGGGAAACACCCTTGCGTGGGACATTGGGAGTCCACCCCTTTCCTCTGCGTTTTTGGTTACAGGTGGAGCAGCTTCCCATGCCTTGTGCTCCTACCATGATGTTCTGTTTTGCCTCAAGTCCAAAAGCAACTGGCCAGCTGACCAGGGATGGAAACTTCCATTATTATGAGTTAAGATGAGCCTCCTATTATTCAGAGGTGGATGACAAAGCTGGTAAAAACAACTGCATACTTTACAATAAAAAAAAACAACTGCATACAATATAATGCTCATAATAACCACCATGTAGTTCCTACTCTGATTCACAGAGCTGCATCCAAGTCGAATGGAGCTCAGAGAGATTAGGGGTCAGGCCGAGCAATAGGCTGAGTTCTAAACTGAATGTCCAGACTCCAAAATGCACACAATTGCAGCAGACTAGGCTGGCAGCTTCTCAGAGGGAAGGGCTTGAACTCAGGGCCAGCGCACTGTCCGTTGGTGCTCTACCACTTGATCCACACCTCCACTTCTGGTTCTTTGATGCTTCAATGTCTCACAGACTTTTCTGCCCAGGCTAGTTTTTGAATGGAGATCCTCAGATCTCAGCTTCCTGAGTGGTTAGGATTGCAGGCATCAGACACCAGTGCCCAGCAATCAGGCTGGTTTTAAGCGTGTTTGGAGAGGTGGTTTTGTAGGAATCAGTATCAAGAGATAGGGATAAGAGAGCAAGGCTATTCTATGTGCTTGGTTCTGGAACCCTAGTGGTGGCTCCCATGGGCGATGGGTCACCCTGAGGGAGGGAAGCCTGTGTCCCAGGAACAGTAATGCACCTGATCTCTCTCTGTGGCTCATGCCCCCAGGCTGCCCCTTCCCTCCAACCTCTGCAGACGGAGCAGTGCTGTCTTCTGAAGCCCTCACCCACCCAAGGCCAGCAGCAGCCCCTTCAGACTTCCTGCCTCTGAGCAGAGAGGATGACACTGGGAGCCAGAAACCCTCGCGGAGGCGTCTGGGGAGCACAATGGTGACTTCCCCAGCAAATCTGTCCACTTAGCACTCTTTGCTAAAAGAGTCTTTGCAGACATAATGAAAATAAGGACCTGGTGGTAAGATCACCCTGGGTTAGTGGGTCTGAAAGCTCTTGACACTGTCCTGACAGAGAAGAGGCAGGAAGAGGGAGACACAGTGGGAAGATGAGGCAGAGGTTGAGGTGAACAATGTGCAAGCCAAAGGATGCCAAGGAATGCCAAGGGACGCCGAGGATGGCCAAGGAATGCTCTCTGCGTTCCTTTTCTAGAACCTTCAGAGGGAGTATGGTCAGAATATGTTGACTTTGGGCTTGTTACCCCGTTTGCTCTTGCTCAAGAACCAAACCACCAATGCCATATTATGGAGCTGCTGACATTCATTTGATCTAATTCATGTGCAGAAAACAAAACCAAAACAAAATCAAGCCACTTTTCCAAATGGTTTAACTAGTGTTGCCATGTTTTAAACCAATGAGGTTTGCCTGTTCCTATGAAACTAGAAACACCTTCTGTAAAGCCCTTGGCCCCTGGCCTGGGAGGGGGGCAGGGCGGTGGGCAGCAGGGTGGTGGTAGGATAATTGGGAGGGGAAGGGCACTGGAAAGTTTCTTTTTTTTTTTTTTTCTTTTTTTTTTGGATCCGGTCATGGGGCCTGAACTCTGGGCCTGGGCGCTGTCCCTCAGCTCTTCAGCTCAAGGCTAGCGCTCTACCACTTGAGCCACAGCACCACTTCCGGCTTTTTTTCTTTTTGCTTATGTGGTGCTGAGGAATCGAACCCAGGGCCTCATGCATGCAAGGCAAGCACTCTACCACTGAGCCACCTTCCCAGCCCGACACTGGAAAGTTTCTGTCTGGGACAATGAGCCCAACTCACCTTTCTCCTGTGCCATCTCTTGCAGACAGAAGTAGATGACCCTGGCTCCCAGGCTAAAGCCAATCAGGGTGACAGGCCGTCGACCCTGTTGGGGGGGAAAAGGATAGAGATGTCTACAGGGGAGTTAGGCAGTGTAGCATGCAGACTGTGAAGCCTGTACATGGTGTAGTTTACTTCTGCTCTCCTGAGTCCTGCAGGCACTGTTCTCTCCCTGAGCTCTGATGTCTCAGGTAGCACGAGGTATTGACTCTAATAAGATAAGGTGGAAAGTCAAACTATTATGGGAAGACTCCAAAGACAAAATGCTACCTTGGGTACCAGTTCTGCAGAGGAGCGAAGGGAGTGGGTGAGCTGTAGAGATTTCCCTGGCTGTTCCTTGTTTTGAGGCCAATCTTTCCCTCCTCTATTCCATTCAATATGGCTGAAAGTTCATCATTAAATAAGATTTGAATTCAGCAGAACTGGTATGGCAAACACTGCCAGTCATCTATCAATATCCCTCCCCGCCCCCAACCATCCTGTGTGGTACTAGAACTCCTGGTTTTTCTGGTACACAGTTACCCCGAGTCCTCTGCAGCTGTAGGTGGCCCCAATGCTGAGACCTGGCCAAGTGACTGAAGATCAGGAAGAGCTGTGACATCTAGATGTGCCCTTCATTTCTTGTTTCCTGCCTTTGGAAGTCTGGGATGCGAATGGGATGCTGGAAGATTCCTCTGAGACTCCAAAGAAAAGCTGGGTGTTCAGGATGAGGGACCACTAGATCAAAGGAGATGGGGTCCCCAGCATTGTGATTACCCCCAGGCAGGAGGCAGAATGATGGTCCACCCACCAGGACACCTACATTGTACTCCCTGGAACCTGTGAATGGAAGGGACTGGCAGATGGGAGCAAGTTAAGGGTCTTGAGATGGAGAGATTATTCTGGATTATTTGAGTGGGCCCCAGGTAATCAGGGTTTCTTTTAAAAGGGACCAGGCCTAGCACCAATGGCTCATGCCTATAATCCTAGCTACTCAGGAGACTGAGATCTGAGGATCCCGGTTTGAAGTCAGCTCAGGCAGAAAAGTCCCTGGGAGACACTTATCTCCAATTCACCACTCAAAAACTGGAAGTGGTGCTGTGGCTCGAAGTGGTAGAGCACTTAGCTTTGAGCAAAAGAGCTCAGGGACAGTGTCTAGACCCTAGGTTCAAGTCCCATGACTGACCAAAAAAAAAAAAAAAAAAAGGGAGGGGACATGGGATAAGGAACAAAAGGAAGAGATCTGAAGTCTGCATAGGTACTGTTGGCCTTGGGAATGTGTGTGTGTGTGTGTGTGTGTGTGTGTGTGTGTGTGTTTGGCAAAGATAGAGATTGGATAGAGTTATCATCAGTTGCCCAGGCAACATTCCCACAGTGGCAACAACTGCTGTCTCTCAGTATCTACCCGCCTTTTTGTCCACCAGGATTGAATCTCAGCTGGTGCATCATCTCAGAATAAAGGCTTGGGGCTGGGAAGATGGCTCAGTGGTAGAGTGCTTGCCTTGTATACATGAGGCTCTGGGGTTGATTCCACAGCACTACATAAGCAGAAAAAAGCCAGAAGTGGCACTGTGGCTCAAGTGGTAGAGCGCTTGCCTTGAGCTGAAGAGCTGAGGGACAGTGCCCAGGCCTCACGACAAAGAAGAAGAAGAAGAAGAAGAAGAAGAAGAAGAAGAAGAAGAAGAAGAGGAAGAGGAAGAGGAAGAGGAAGAGGAAGAGGAAGAGGAAGAGGAAGAGGGAAGAAGGAAGAAGGAAGAAGGAAGAAGAAGAAGAAGAAAGGCTGTATTTCCTGGCTTCTGGGACAGTGAGGTACAATCATGTGACAAGGCTGTGACCAATGAGGCATCAGTGGCAGCAAGGCCTTTGCTCTCTTTCTTCCAGCTCTTCCATCTCTGGCTACCTAGACCTCAGGTCCTGCCATCTTGGGTCAGAAGGCACAACCACACACAGGAGCAACCTTGACCTTTCTACAATGGCATGCCACTGGAGTGTCTGGAAGCTGTCTCAGGCTTACCTGGGAAAAATAAACTTCTGTCTTGTTTAAGCCACTGTTATTTTGTGTTTTCTCCTTGCACTCAAACTCAAGCCACACAGCCACCTCTGGTACTGAGTCTCAAATGCTTGTCTTTAGTTATTCCAGTTTATTTTTCTTCTTCCTATCTTTCCTTCTCCTCCTCCTCCTCTTCTTCTTCTTGTATGGCAGTATTGACACTTAAACTCAGGGCCTTGAGCTATTGCTCGGCATTTTTGCTCACAGCTGTCATTCTACATCTGTAGCTATTCCTTCAGTTCTGTTTTTTCTTTTTGTGAGTTAATTGGAGATGAGAGTCTCTCAGATTTGTCTGCCTGGGATAGCTTTGGACCACAATCCTGAAGTCTCAGCCTCATGGGTAGCTAGCATGATAGGTATGAGCCACTGGGGCTTGGCTTGAGTTTATTTTAAAGAGGATAATTCCATTTTTCTGGAAAGTATATCTTTGCTAGATCCAGTTTTTTCTTTTTTAAGAAAAGCTTGATGCTTTCTCTTCCTAACCATTTTTTCCCCCAGTCCTGGGGCTTGAACTCAGGGCTGGGCACTGTCCCTGAGCTTCTTTTGCTCAAGGCTTGCACTCTACCACTTGAGCCACAGTGCCATTTCTGGCTTTTTCTGTTTATGTGGTCCTGAGGAATTGAACCCAGGGCTTCATGCATGTTAGGAAAACACTCTACCACTAAGCCACCTCCCCAGCTCTTCCTATTTTTGAGTATTTGCAGCACTGAGGATTTCTTCCCATGACAGCTTGGCTGTGGGTGTATGGAAATTCCATTCCTGTCCAGGAGCAGCTTTGGGTGCAGTTAAGTCTGTTCACTCCACCACAAAAGGATCTTGATATTTTCACTGAAACATTGCCCCGATGAGCCCAACCCTCACCAACCTCTCTAAATAACATCCACATGGAAGCTACTTGTGGCTATGGGTTCTCAATATTCGGTGCTCACCTATTTTTGACCATCCTAGGACACTCTCGTGACTTGAAGTGGAGTGGCAGCAAAGACTACCTATTCCCCACAGCCACTGGGCCAACTCAAAGTGGACTTGCGGCTAAGGCTCACCTCTGCACAAGGTAACCTTCTCTTTGTCCTTCCCCCCTCCCCCCCCCCCCAGGCGATTCCCAGGTACCTGCTGCCGGGAGAGCAGGATATGTGCCAGGTGCTTGCCAACCTCTGCTGACCGATGGAGACACACGCCCCAGGGGTTGTCAATGACATTGGCCACACTGAGGAGGGAGGCTGGCCAGGTGAGGGCTGCCACAAGACCTGGGGAGATCAGCAAGGAAATGGGGAGGTCTTCCCAGGGAAGAGCTCGCCTGGCAGATGCTGGAGCGAATGCATGCAGTCTCTAACACAGAACCTGCAAGATCTCTGAGTTCTGTCCAACTCAAAGAGGAATCAGACACTTGTAGCATTTCCCACTCTAAATCTCTTCTGCCCAAGCGCTTTCATGGGTGAGAGTTCCAAAAATGACCTCAATCTGTCACCCTACCCTTTATCCTTCCATTTTTGCCTTCTTGCTGTGCAATGCTTCTCCTACCATCTTGGACATCCACACCAGGCCTGGCCATGTGATTTGTGTTAGCCAATGAAATGATAGCAAATGTGGAGCTTGAGCTGGGGTTTGGGGGGCTGCCTGTCTTGTACTTGTCCCACTGGCATGGGCTAGCCTGTTGACTTCAGGCGGAGAGGTACGTGGAACAGAGCTAAGTTTATCTAACTGCCCTAGGCTAGCCTAGGTCAGCGGGCAGTCAGCAAACTCACAGAAAAAAAATTTTTTTGAGTATGCCTTGCTCAGATCAGCCCACTTCACTCACCTTCCCTGAGCGATCAGAATCAATGAGTGTGATTTCAGGCCACACATTTGAGATGGTTTGTTATGTAACAGTAGCTAACAGATACATTATGTGGTTGGCCTGTGACTCATATACAGATGACTGTGTTATCTCCAGCACAGGGTTGGGCCTCCTTTTGGCTGCAGGTATGCGAGGATATGGCACCAGTATACCCTACCATGGCTGGTTGGAAGGGGGGGCTAGCTTACCTGACAGCACAGTATACTTGAGGGCCTCCTGGGCCACCATATTGGCAAGGCCACTGAGAATGGTCTCCAGAGCATTGCCGAGCTCCATCAGGTACTTGGCCTCCCAGGCCAGGCAGTACTGCTCACGGCTGCGGGCCAGGGCGGCCCATGGGGCGCTGAAGGTGCCTGGGGAGAAAACAGGTAGGTGGCATCTCACCTGTCTGTGGCAGAAAATGCCCCACCCACGGAACCAGATAGGAAATGCCAGGGGCAGGCCCGTGGGCAGCTCCCTCTAGCAGGGCAGATAAGAGTCTACCCCAGAGAGGGCTCCCATCACAACTTTTCCTCATCTGTAGCTAGGTGACCTTGGGAGCAATTCTATCTGACCTTGAGCTTCTCTTTGCTTCTCTGTAAAAAGGCCATGTGCTTGTCTTTGTAGGGCAAGATAAGAATGAATTGCTTAAGCCTGATGCTGGTGGCTCATGCTTAAAACCCTAGCTGCTCAGGAGGTTGAGATTTGAGAATCATGGTTTGAAGCCAGCCTGGGCAGGAAAATCCAGGAGACTCTTTAATTAACCACCAAAAAGTTGGGAGAGAAGTTGTGGCTCAAGTGGTAGAGCACCAGCCTTGAATGTAAAAGCTCAGGGACAGCGCCCAGGCCCTGAGTTCATGCCTCAGGCTGGTACCAAAAAAAAAAAAAAAAAGTTTGAAGGACTCCATGTATAAAATAGTATTTTCTTTATCCGGGAGAAGTCGAACATTAAGCTGTGACTTCGGACATGACTGGCAGTGTGGCTCTCTGACTCAGTACGGCTTTGAGCCAACACCCACGGAGTAGGAAGCAATCAATCCAGAAACTGGGGGAAGATGTTCTGAGCCTCAATTTCCTCTCCTAGGAAATGGAAACGGAAGCAACCTCATAGAAGAGACAGCTGTACCTTAGCCACCAAAGGCCATCTAGATGGTGAAGTGTGAACATTATTCCCTCTCTCCCTCCCTTCTTCCCTCCTTCCTTTCCTTTTCTCCTTCATTATAACACAGCAATTACTCCCATCACATCTGCAAGCAAGACTCAGTGACAATTAAGGCTTCAAGCTGACAGAAGTGAGTGATGGTTTGTTCCTTACAGAGCTTTCTCTAATTTGCATTGTTTCTCTCCCCCATCCCTTTCCTTTCTCTCCCTCTCCCCCTCCTTCCCAATTTCCCTTTCCCATCTCTGTGTTAACGCTGGGGCTTGAACTCAGAGCCAAGGTGCTGTCTCTATGCTTTTTTTTTTTTTTTGCCCCTAAAGGCTAGGAATCACTTTGAACCGTGATTCTCACATCTGAGTCTCTTGAGTATCTGGGATTACAGACATGAGCCATGGTGCCTGATCATAGGTCTCCTCTGGGCATCCTTCTCCCTGAGCCCGACACTCACTAGGCTGCTGAAAAGAACACTGAAGATGCTTTTTCTTCACCCAAGCATGCTCCTCCAGATCACAGCCCGGAGCTGATATCTGAGGCCTGGCAGCACAACACCAGGAGCTGCCCTAGTGCCATCTGGTTCTGGCAGCCACCCTGAACAGCGGGAATCATTTGCTCCACCTGACAAATGAAGCCACTGAGGAACGGGAAAGTTCTATAAATACGCACTTTGAAGCCACACGGCCAAGATGTATTGATCTCTCACCCGTGAGCAATAAAGCCCTAGGCTATCTTCTTCTTGCTCTGAGGACAGATTCAGACTCTCTGCTCCTCATGCTATGGTCTTGCTCCTGCCTCCTGGCTACTTGATTACCCTATGCTCCTTTTGGTCTTTTTTTTTGCCAATCCTGGGGCTTGAACTCAGGGCCTGGGCACTGTCCCTGAGCTTCTTTTTGCTCAAGGTTAGTGCTTTACCACTTGAGCTTTTTCTGTTTATATGGTATTGAGGAATTGAACCCAGGGCTTTGTGCATGCTAGCTTAGCACTCTGCCACTAAGCCACATTCCCAGCCCTCCTTTTGGTCTTTTTGCACATCAGGACCTTTGGTTGTGCTGCCTCTTTGCTTGGTCCACACATTTTCCTTTTTAAAACCCAACTAGCTACCAACCAGGCCTTAGCATAAATACGACTTCCTCTAAAAACCTCCTCCAGGAATAGCTCATTCATGCTTTCCCAACTGTGCCAGCCATAAAGCTCCCCTTTAATCACTTGGCCTGTCTCTGTCTTGTGTGTTCCATGGAAGCAGACGTGATGACTGGGCTGTCCTAAGGCTTGGCTTAACCCAGTTAAGAACAGCACTTTACAAATACTGCTGGCTGGCTGGATGAATGATGGTGAGAGGATGATGGTAGGTGGGTGGGGAGTGGATACTTTATAAATACTGATGGATAAAGGGGTGGGGGGATGATACATGGACAGGTGGATGGATAGATGGGTAAATGAATGAATGCGTAGATGCGTGGATGGATGATGGATGATGGGTAGGTATATGGGTGGTGGGTAGATGGATGAATGAGTGAGTAGATGGATGGGTGCTGGGCAGCTGGATGGATGGATGGATGGATGGATGGATAGGTGGATGGATGGGTGGATAGATGAGTACATGCATGGAAAGCTAAAGGATGGCTGAGTCAGTAGGGAGTGGATGGGCGGATGGGTGTAGCAATGAAGTCATCTCACCTTTCTGAGCCTCAGTTTCCTCCTCTGTGATATGGGGCCCTTCCTGCCCACTCCCTAGAGTCGCATGCAAGCAAGAACAGATCCCAGGGCCTGGTGAGCAGTAGGCCCAAGTCCACCAGTGCCCCAACACCAGGTCCCCCAATCCTTCTCTGCCCCTGGTCCTCACGGTATTTTCCAGAAGCGAGCCACCCAGTGATGGCGATGGTGATGTGTAGTTGCCTGCCCTCCGTCAGGGGCAGGAATGTGAACTCTTCAATGGCTCCGACACGCTTCTTCATCTTGTATCCTAAAGACTCAGACACATGAACAGGAGTGGAGGTGAGGAAGCCCTGGGAGGGGTGCAGCTGTCCCAACTGTGCTTATATGTACCCAGCAAGCGCTAACTAGCTGCCCTACCCCTGGACAAATGCACTTTGTTTGTGGCCCCTTTAAAGTGCCATAACTGTCCTTGATTGCAGGGAATCTAAAGTCACTCTGTAGCCAGGAAAAGGCCTCATGCCTCCAGAGGGCTTGCTTGTACTCTCAGAGTGGGGGAGTAGGCTCAGGAATCTTCCTTAGGAAGCACTTGGGGGGCATGGTGGGAAAGCCAGGTTTGCAAATGTGGTCTTTACCCTGGCCATGCAGAGGGCTAGTCTAGTTGCTTCAGTGAAATCTGTTGCAAGTCAGACACAAGTAGAACTCAGAGAGGACAAAGCTACATCCCCTCTGTCACCCAAAAAGCCATCCCTAGGGAGAATCAGAGAGTCCTGTAGTGATCTGAGCCACTCTAGATAAAAAACATCTTTCTTAAGCTGGGCGCCGGTGGCTCATGCCTATAATCTTAGCTACTCAGGAGGCTGAGATCTGAAGATCTCTGCCAGTCCGGGCAGAAAAGTCCGTGAGACTCTGATCTCCAATAAACCACTAGAAAACCGGAAGTGGCGCTGTGGCTCAAGAGATAGAACGCTCACCTTGAGCTGAAGAGCGCCCAAGCCCAGAGTTCAAGCCCCACGACCGACAAAACGAACAAACAAAAAAACTTTCTCAGTTCCTTATTGTGTGTGTGTGTGTGTGTGTGTGTGTGTGTGTGTGTGTGTGTGTGTGTGTGTGTGTGTGTACTAGAGTTTGAACTCAGGACCTCATGCTCTTGCTTTGCTTTTTCTGCTTCAGGCTGGTGCTCTATCACTTGAGCCACACCTCCACTTTGGGCTTTTTTATTGGTTAATGGGAGATAAGGGTCTCATAGATGTTTTTCTTTTTTTGCCCATCCTGAGGCTTGAACTTGGGGCTTGGGCACTGTCCCTGAATTTCTTCTGCTCAAGGCTAGCACTCTACCACTTGAGCCACAGTGTCACCTCTGGCTTTTTCTGTTTATGTGGTGCTGAGGAATTGAACTCAGGGCTTCATGCATGCTAGGCAAGCGCTCTACCACTAAGCTACATTTCCAGCCCTAACAGAGTTTTCTTTCCTTGCTGACTCTGAACCATGATCCTTGGATCTCAGCCTCCCGAGTAGCTTGGATTATAGGCATGAGCCACCAGCACCTGGGTCCCCGCTGCTTTCGAGCCTTACCTGTCAGGCCAGCTCCAGCTGCACCGAACAGTGAGGTCATGACAGCTATACCAGCCACAGAGCCCAGCGCTGCTGCCCCAGCACTGCCAATGATTGTCGCAGCTCCTGCAGCCACCAGAGGGGCAGCCAGGCCTCCAGTCACACCTGCAGGGAAAGCAGCCCACATGCGTGAAAGTGGGAGTTGGAATACGGCTTGATGTGTTCTGACTCCATAAATTACCACCACCTTTTTTGGACACTTCTTCTATTTTTTGGTCTTGGTCCTGGGGCTTGAACTCAGGGCCCGGGTGTTATCTCTGAGCTTCTTTTGCTCAAGGCTAATGCTTTCCTACTTGAGCCACAGATCTACTTCCACTTTTTTGGTAGTGTTAGTGGAGACAGAAGTCTCACAGGCTTTCCTGCCCAGGCTGGCTTTGGACTGTGATCCTCAGATCTCAATCTCCTGAGTATTTTAGGATTACAGAAGTGAGCCACCGGCGCCCAGCCTATGGCAACTTCTAACAGTGCTACTCTACCACTGAACTGTCCTGTGCTGGGGTCACCTCCCAACACACCTCCTGCCCTTTTGGTGCTTGCTGTGAGTCTAGACTGCCATGTGCTGCCCGCTGGGCTGGCCTTACCAATCGCCGTTCCCCCTCCGACTGTCGCCAGCCCTATCAGGAGATAGCGCTTCCATTTCCTCCGGTTTTCTTTCTTCTTCCGGGATGCCTCAGCCGTTCTGGGGGAGAAGAGGTTGATCTTTAAGGATCATCTATGGCCAGGATCCCTTGAGACCTCCTGCTTTATTCCAGCCCCACCTCACCTCCAGAGGAGAGCAATGGTGGGTAGTTACTCTGTCCAGAAGAGCAGGCTACCAAGTCACCCAGGCCCACTGATGCTTTTAAGAAGCAGAAGCGACCTGGGTGCTGGTGGCTCATGCCTGTAATCCTAGCCATACAGGCGGCTGAGATCTGAGGATCAGAGTTGGAAACAGGAAAGTCCAGGAGACTTGTATCTCCCATTAACCATCCAAAAGCCAGAAGTGGAGGTGTGGCTCAAGTGATAGAGCACCAGCCTCGAATGAAGAAGCTGAGGGACAGCACTCCAGTCCTTGAATTCAATCCCCAATACTAGCACAAAAGAAAAAAAGCCAAAAAAGCTGGGCACTGGTGGCTCATGTCTGTAATCCTGGCCACACGGGAGCCTGAGACCTACAGATCTCAGTTCAAAATCAGCTTGGGCAGGAAAGTCTGTGAGACTGTTACCTCCCATTAGTCACAGAAAAATCTGGAAGTAGAGCTGTGGCACAAGTGGTAGAGTGCTAGCCAGGAGCAAAAGGAGCTCAGGGACAGTGCCCAGGGTCAGAGGCCTAAGGACTGGCACATTAAAAAAAAAAGAAAAAGAAAATTCATGGTTCTGAAACTTAGTAGGGAAATCTCAGTGGACAGGTGCACTACTTACCTACCAGGTCCATCTAACAGGGTTGCAATTGAATAATGAAAAGAAAACAGTAATAATAATAGCAAGAGGAGCACAAAGAATACCTTTCAACAGAGGCCTCCCTCCTCCATCCCTTCCCCCGCATCCTGCCTTTGGATTCCACCTCCCTCGGGGACAGCTGGAAGCCCTTTTCCCCCTGAAGAATCTGAGGATGGCTTAGAGACATTTCTTCACAGGAGACCTTGGCCTTGGGGCAATAGCCAGACGCTTCCAGGCTGGACACATAAGTGCTGGAAAAGCTGGCAGCAGAAGAAAGCATTTGGGATGAACTGGCGTCAGGTGCGTATGGAGTGCAGTTGTCATGAGTGCTCAGGCTTCATGGGAATCCCGTTTGCCTTTGGGATCTGCAGCCCTCAGCTGTTGTTTTTATTGTTGTTGTTTTGTCAGTCGTGGGGCTTAAACTCTGGGCCTAGGCGCTGTCCCTGAGCTCTTAAGCTCAAGGTGAGTGTTCTACCACTTTGAGCCACAGTGCTACCTCTAGTTTTCTGGTGGTTAATTGGAGGTTAAAGTCTGATGGACTTTCCTGCCTGGACTGGCTTTGAACCTCGATCCTCAGATCTCAGCCTCCTGAGTAGCTAGGATGACAGGTGTGAGCCATTAGCACTGGGCTCAGCCGCTTTTTTGATTGGAAACCAGAGGAGAGGCAGAGGTTGGGGTGGATTGGCCATTACGGGGGACCTCTGAACAGGAGCTGGAGTTTGGACACTCACTGGAGCGACAGCAAATCATGGTGATAAGAAATGATGAAAAATGGTTAATATTTAGTGAGGAATGCCTGCCTATACACTAGCTTCTGTGCTTTGGACTTCCTACACTTTATCTTATTCTAGGAAATGGTTTTACTGTCCTCACATTGCAGATAGGTTAAGAGAGAAATTGTGGGTATTTCCAGAGCATCCTACCATATCGGCCAGAGCCTTAGTCTTCCTCTCCTGTAAAATGGGGGCAATGACATATCACAAGATTGTGGCTTTGTCACGATTAAAATTCATTCCTCCTTTGGCTATTCAGTCAACAAACTCACACGGCAAATAGACAATTTGTGGGTGCCTTGGGATACTGCGTTATCTGTGAGCAGAAAAACCCAGGGGCTCAACCACTTGTGTCCTGCCTGTTTCCAGAAGTGGACTTGCATTGGGCATTCTGGGGCCCGGCATGTGTTTTGGTTTCCTGCCAGCTCAGCTCTCCATGTCTCCCTAGGGGGATAAAGGGCAAAGCACGGCTCTTCTTACTGCTTTGAGACAGAGATGCAGGAGCCAGTGATAGAAATCTGCGCACACTCCGGGTTCAGGACCACATGCCGCTGTAGAGGGAGGGAGAAGAAGCAGAATGGTGGATGAGAGCCAGGAGCCTGGTCTGGCATTCAAACCTCAACCGCCGTGGAGGCTTCATGCTTTCCTCTGCTGTGGAGGGTCAGTTGCTCATCGTTAGTCAGCTATTCAGTTCTCTCTCCTTTACTAGAAGGTTCTATAGTTGTACTTCCATGGGGAATTGGTTCCAGGACCCCCAAGGGTGGCAAAACCCACAGGTGCTCAAGAAATACTGCAGGTGCAATATGTATGCATGTGTATATGTACGTATGTCTGCCTATCTGTCTGTCTGTCTGTCGGTCGTGGGGCTTGAACTCTGGGCCTGGGCATTGTCCCTCAGCTCTTCAGCTGAAGGCTAGTATTCTACTACTTGAGCCACGGTGCCACTTCCAGTTTTCTGAGAGGTTTGTTGGAGATAAAAGAGTTTCACAAGCCCAGTGCCGGTGGCTCACGCCTGTAATCCTAGCTACTCAGGAGGCTGAGATCTGAGGATCACGGTTCAAAGCCAGCCTGGGCAGGAAAGTCCGTGAGACTCTTACCTCCAATGAACCACTTGAAAACTGGAAGTGGTGCTGTGGCTCAAATGGTAGAGTGCTTGCCTTGAGCTGAAGAGCTGAGGGACAGTGCTCAAGCCCAGAGTTCAAGCCCAAGGACCGACGGAAAAAAAAAAAGTGTTTCATAGACTTTTCCTGCCCAGGCTTTAAACCTTGATCCTCAGATCTCAGCCTCCTGAGTAGCTAGGATTACAGGCGTGAGCCACCAGTGCCCTGCCTTGCAATATTTGTTTCTAACCTAGGCAATTCTTGCTTCTACTCAAACCACGTTTATTTATTGTACCAAATAGAGCATATATACACTACATATACATCTTGAATAACGGTAAGAAATAAAAAAGGCTGAACGTGTTCAGTAACAAACCTAATTATTTTTTGTTTGGGTCTAGGTCTCACTATGTAGCTGAGGCTAGACTGAAACTCATGATCTCCATATCCTGAGGGCTGGGATTACAGGTGTGCACCACTATACCCAGCCAGACTTAATTAAAAAAAATATTTTCTAGCCCTGGCTAGTGGAATCTGAGGAATGTGGAAATGCTAACATAGAGAACAACCCAAGTGTACAACATTGCTCTGTCAACTGCAACTGATGACCAGCTTTAACCAATGATAGGTGAGTGGGGATGCGAGCCACTTCCAGAAGGATCTTTAAGAACCTAGGGGGAGCTGGGTGCTGGTGGCTCATGCCTGTAATCCTAGCTACTCGAGGCTGAGATCTGAGGATTGCGGTTCAAAGCCAGCCTAGGCGGAAAAGTCTGTGAGACTCTTATCTCCAATTAGCCACCAGAAAACCAGAAGTGGCACTGTGGTTCAAGTGGCAGAGCGCTAGCCTTGAGCTGAAGAGCTAAGGGACAGTGCCCAGGCCCAGAGTTCAGGCCCCACGACCGACCCAAAAAAAAAAAAAAAGTTCTAATGCAGCCAGCCTTGAGCACCTTATTTAGCTTCTCTGAGGCTCAGTTTCCTCGTCTGCAAAATAGGAATAATAGTAGGCCCTCTCTCATGAGATTCTCTGCAGGCTTGAGAATGAAAACATTAGGTAGGTTGAGTCCTTCTTGCTATTTCTTTTAATAATTTTTTTGGGGGAGGTCAGTCATGGGGCTTGAACTCTGGGCCTGGGTACTGTCCCTGTGCTCAAGGCGAGCGCTCTACCACTTGAGCCACAGTGACACTTCCAGTTTCCTGGTGGTTTATTGGAGATAAGAGTCTCACAGACTTTTCTGCCTGGGCTGGCTTTGAACCTTGATGCTCAGATCTCAGCCTCCAGTAGCTAGGATCACAGGCATGAGCCAGTGGCGCCCGGCTTATTTAAGAATTTTTTCCCCAGAAATAGGGGTGGCTTTAGGGATGATGGTGATGGACCTCAGATTCTGCCTGAGGTTGCCAAAATTATCTCAGACCTAGGGAAAGCAGCATAGCAACTCTTCAGCCTGGAGACCTGGTTCTTAGCTCCGATTTAGCCTCTAGCTTTCTGTGTAGCCTTGGGAACATAGCTTGCCCTCTCTGGACACCAGCCTCCATTTTTTTCAGTGAATTGTAAATCTGTATGTGCCCTTAATGGATCCGATTCTATGTAGGGTTTCTTTAGACTTTTTTTTTTTTTTAAACTCTTTTCTCTTTCTGGAAGATACTAAGCAATGGAATGCAATGTGTTACCCAGTTGTTCTGCCCATGGTGACTTCAAATCACAATCTTCCAGATCTCAGCCTCCTGGATAGTTAGGTGTGAGTCACACCACGTTGACTAATTTCTTAATAATAAATCTCCAGTCATCGTGACAATGCTCCAACATTTCACATGTGTCCTATTAACCCCAAAGCTTCTGTTTAGATGGCAGGCAGGTCTATTCTGCCCTACACATTTTTTAAAATTTAGCCTCCAGTCCCCCTCTGGTTCTATAGCAACTGGGACACATCACTGCAGGAAGGTGGCTGTCTCCTCTGCTCTCTGAGATGATCATCTCCCCCTCCCAAGTCCAGGGGTAGCCAAAGACGGTAGAGAGCTGGAAGTGTTTGACCCAGCCACAGGGACTCCAGGACGGCCTCCCTGGGTTTCTAGCTGCAGCCTAGACAGTGCCGCTGACTCTCAGAGCCACACCCCCACGCCGCCCCTCATGCCCGTTCCTTTGGTAAGCTGTCAGCAGCTGGGATTTTCCCCCACACACACCATAGGCCTTGAATCCTGCCAAAATCCAATAATTTCCATTCTCCCTGTTTAAACTGAATTAAGGACCATCAGTTAAGCGTCAAGTCAATTAAGGGTCAAAGTATATCTCCAGCCTCCATTTAGAAGGAAATTCTTTTTAGTAATGAGAAGAATGATAATAGCAATAAACATATTGAACGGTTACGATAGGCCAATCATTTCTATGTGAATCATTTCATCTCGTGAAGACCTCACAAAACCCGTGGAAATTATGTATCATTTGTTGGAAAAGAAGACTTTGATGTAAATACAATCACTAGACTGGGTGGACTGGTGGCTCATGCCTATAATCCTAGCAACTCAGGAGGCTGAGATCTAAGGACTGCAGTTTGAAACCAACTAGGGCAGAAATCAGCCAGCAAAAAGCTAGAAATGGTGGTGTGGCTCAAGTGGTAAAGAGCCTGCCTTGAGTGAATAAAAAAGCTAAGGGATAGCACCCTGGCCCTGAGTTCAAGCCCTATTACTGGCATAACTTAAATAAGTGTAATATGTATGTAGCCACAGTAAGTGGATCCATCCATCAGGATAAGATTTTGCTGCTATAACAAATGAGCCCCTCCCCTCAACCTCCACGGTTTATAGCATCCACAGTTATGTCTTACTCCCTCCCACTGCTTCTCCACTGCAAACTGGCTGTGCCTTGCATCCACACTGACTTCGTTCTGGATTACAGGTTGACACAGTGGCCCCACTCCTGCCTAGAATGTTGTCATTCTTGGGCCAGACTGACAGGAGAACTGTCAGGCTCCCCCACGGCTTTTTGTTTTATCTTGTTTATTTGTTTTCTTGGCTGGTCACTTGAGCCACAGTGCCACTTCTGGTTTTCTGGTGACTAATTGGAGATAAGAGTCTCACAGACTTTTCCACCTAGGCTGGCTTTGAACTGCATTCTACCACTGAACTACCTTCCTAGCCCCTGTGTTAGAACTTCTGTTTTCTTTTTTTTTCTGATCCGGATTACTGCTGTTAACAGAACGAATCCCTCAGGGATATATGTTTCTTTCTGATAAGATTTTTCAGCTGCTGGCTCAAACCTATAATCCTAGCCACTCAGGAGGCTTTGTGATCTGAGCATTGAGGTTTGAAGCCAACCCAGGCAGAAAAGTTTGTGAGACTTATCTCTAGCCACAAGAAGCCAGAAGTAGAGTTGTGGCTCAAGTGGTAAAGCATCAGCCTTGAATGAAAAAAGCCAAGCAAGAATGCAAAGTCCTCAGTTCAGAGCCCCAGTATTGGCAAAAGATTTCCAACCAATAAATGAGAGATTCCTTAATCTGAAGGCATAGAAGACCCTACCTCTTTCTGGTGCTTTCAAAGAACCTGAGGCAGCCTTTGCGGTTATGGTAATTTGCTTGGAGCAAGGTTATTTTCTTGCTGACACAGTTTGAGAGTCAAAGCAAGAATGTTTCGAGGTTATTTCAACAAGCCATGTTTCCTCCTTTTTCGAGGTAACACCCATTCCCTTTGCCCCATAAACCCTGGCACGAGGGTGTTTCTCTGAACCTGACAACTGGATTAAATCTCCAACTGGAAGAATGAGCTGGTGCAACCCCCAAGCCATTGTAGATGAGTGAGACTCAGGGCCAGGTTGACGTGCCTGGTGCCAGCAACCCACAATTAGGCTGTGGCTGGGATTGATTTATTGCACTGGGATTTAGATTTTTGTGTTAGGCGTTCTCTCCAAGGAGCAATGTGGTGGCCAAGTTACCGACATAATAGCAAAGCTCTGCCACGGAGGAGTCGGATGTGTTCGGGGCATGTGGGGGAAGGGAAGAGTCACATCAGGGAATACTCACTATGGTGCCAAGCTTGGGCAGAGTGTTTTATATTATGGCAATGTTCCTTTCTCCCAATGGCCCAGGAGGCTACTATCCTTATTGTCATTTTACAGACATGCATGGAATATTGCAGATTAGAGAAAGGTGGCCAGCTAGCTGCCCAAGGTTAGACAGTAGATGGGTGTCTGAGGTGGGATTTGAATCCAGGTCGATGGAGCCCATAGATCCGAGCCTGAGGTAGAGCACGGTATCAGGGCCCTAGCATGTTAAAGTCAGATGCACCTCTCTTAGTTACCCTCTATTTGGTCCTCCTCTTCTTACAAGTGAGCACTGAGGCCCAGAGAGGGTAAGGGGACTTGTTAAGGTCACATAGTGAGCCAAGGCTTCATTGGAACTCTCCAGCCAGTGCTCCTTCTGCTCAGTCAGGGAAAGGGCACCGTTATCGGCAAAGCACCCTTAGTGGAAATGCAGGGATTTCTTACTCAGATTCCTCTTCTCTGGCTTCCTTCAGGCTCTCGAGGAACGTCTCTTCAAGGACATCCAGGTCCTCCAGGGGAACGTGAAGCAGAGTAGTTACATGGCAAACGAGGACTCTGGCTCGGGCATCGTAGCGCCCTCCAAAGACAAGAGAGGATGACACAGGCAAAGAATCAGATGGAGTTTTTAAGCACAGAGATGTTCACAATAGTCATGACTGGAGCTGGCTCTCCCCCCAGCTCCCATCTGTCCTCAGCAGTGTCTGCTAGTTTCTAGCACACCAGGCTGCATTGCTGCTGCCGAGTGACTGAACTTTGCAAGACAAAGTTGCCATTTACCTCCCGCCCTGCTGTTTTCTGTCTAAGGAGCCTTGGGTCACGGTGCCCTCTGCTCCTGAGACTGTGGCTTCACCACGCACAGCAGTGTTCCATGAAAAGCAATGGATTAGTCTCCTATGCATACTGTAACAAATAACCACACTTAGTGGCTTCAGATAATACAAGTTTAGGACGTCTGTGGCCTGAGATCCTGAATGTGCACAAGATTGTGTTCCCCCCCTTTAGAGGTGCTAGGAGAGATTCTATTCCTGGCCTTTCCCAACGTCTCGAGGCTGCCCACAACCCTTGTCTCATGGCCACATCATTCCAGCCTCTGCTTCTGCCACCATGCCTCCTTCTCTGATGCTGTTCCCTTCCTTGTATACAAGGCCCTGGTGATTCCATTGGGTCCATCTGAGTAGCCCTAGATGATCACTTCATCTCGTGCCTACAATCCCAGCTACTTTGCAGGCCAGAGGCAAGGAGGATCAAGGTTGGAGGCAAGCTGCGGAAAAAAGAGCAAGACCTATCTGAAAAAGAAGATAAACTAAAATCCTTGAGTGTTTGTGTGTATGGCTGTATCTCAGGTAGTAGAGTACTGACTTTAGCAAGCCTGAAGTCTAAAGCTCAAACCCCAGTATTGACAGAGAAGGGTGGGGGCGGTATTCCTGAAACCTGGTTTAGGGGTCTTCCTTATCGTCAGCTGCAGGATGTCATTTGACGGAGGGAGTTTTTAACCTGACTGAGTTCTCCGTCACAGCCTGCCCGTGTCACCGGTCAGCAGTGTTCGGCCCACTACCCTTGGCCACATTCCTGCTTAGGGGCTGTCTACGTGCCGGTGCAGGGGCTGTGTCTCAGAGTCACCAGATTAATGAAAGGTCTGCAGACAAAGGAGCGCCTTCTCCTTTGAACAGAAGCACCTGCTTCACCCAGGTGATAATCGGGCTGTGGGAACCAAGGCTTGGCCTTGATGATTCATGGATCGCAATTCTAATTAGTGGCTAACATGTACTGCAGGGGTCAAGGTTGCAGTGATAGAGTTTCTAGAATCCTGGCTGCCACGTGCACAAATTATTATTCCTGGGGTAATGTCAAGCATGGAGAGAGAGCTGGCTGTTGCTCAAGATCATTTCAAGGACCTTGGAGGCCAGGCTGTTGGTCTTGAAGCTGGGCTTAGAGGCTGGTGGGGGCTCTCCTGGTCTTGGTTCTCCTAAAGATCTGTCGATCTTGTTTGGCTAACAGGTGCCCATTCACACATCCACCTTGGAGCTTGGGCCAAATGCCTGGGCATTGTCCTTTGGTCATCCTGACACCCAATCTAGCAGCTAATGTTGGCAGCAGAGCCTCCAAGCTACAGCCTGAGTCTGAGCCATTTCCTTCCATCTCTACCACCATCACCTCCCACTGGTATTGAAAATTCCCTAGCAGCCTCTGGCTACCCTATGGTTCCTCATTTTTCATTCTGGCCTCTGTATTCCATATGTCTCCAATCTAGAGGGAGTCATAGAAGCCGTTCATCTATACATTCTCCCTGGCTTAAAATTTTCTTTTTTTTTTTGGGGGGGGGTCCGGTTGTGAGGCCTGAACTCTGGGCCTGGGCGCTGTCCCTCAGCATTTCAGCTCAAGGCTAGAACTCTACCACTTGAGCCACAGCGCCACTTCCGGCTTTTTTTTTTTCTTTTTGCTTATGTGGTGCTGAGGAATTGAACCCAGGGCCTCAGGCATGCAAGGCAAGCGCTCTACCACTGAGCCACCTTCCCAGCTCTGGCTTAAAATTTTCTAATAACTTTCTAATGCCCCTAGGATAAAGTCCACATTTCTTCCTAGGTGTGTAAGATATCTGAGCCCTTCCTGCTACCTACTCCTATTTTTTCTACTATTCATCCTTGCTTCATGCATCAGCATCAGTTCTACCAAGCACATGTCTGTCTCAGGGCCTTTGCACTTACTGTTCTCATTATCTGGTAAGCCCTTCTCCCAGAGGTCTGCCAGCCTGGCCTGTTTCTATCACCCAAACCTCAACTCTTTGGAGAGACTGTTGGCTCCTGAATTAGAGCAGCATACTTCTAAGGCCCCCCCCCCCCCCACTTTTCCCATTACCCTTTCCTTTTCTCCTTTCTGTGTGGATAATATTGTGTGGCTCAACCCATCAGAATGCCACCTCCCTCCCTCCCCTACCACAAGGACAGGGCCGTCTGCCTTGTTTGCTGGTGTGCTTCACCAATGCTTGGGGTATACAGGAAACAATGAAGTCATGGTGTCTTCACTGGCTGGCTGGACTTCTTTCTGACCTGCTAGAGTGCTCTCTGCTGTGCCCCAACATGCCCAAAGCAGCATAAAAGGCCTTTACTGCTTCCCACCTCCATTTTGGGTCCAACTTTCCCAGGAACTGTGGAGACAAGGGGGGACCAACTGGCAAAGGCATCTCACTCGCCCTAGGTAGGATCTTCACTTAAAGAGGATTTTAGTCCCAGAGCTGACAATGCCTGGAACTTTCTGAGACCACCTCATGGTTCAGTTAAGGAACTGAGCCACCTGCTCCCAAAAGCCCTCTCTGATTCACTCTCCTGCTCTCTGTCCCTTTGCCAGCAGCAAATCCTTCTTATCACCATTGAAATTGTTTATTTTTTGGCCCGATGCCAGTGGCTCACGCCTGTAATCCAAGCTACTCAGGAGGCTGAGATCTGAGGATCCACGTTCAAAGCCAGCTCAGGCAGGAAAAGTCCTTGAGATTCTGATCCCCAACTAGCCAGAAGTGGAGCTGTGGCTTAAGTGGCAGAATGTTAACCTTTAAAAAAAAAAAAAAGCTTGGAGGCTGGGAAGGTGGCTCAGTGGTAGAGTGCTTGCCTTGCATGCCTGAGGCATGCAAAAACAACTATTTTTTTTTTTTAATTTACCCTCATGTTTATTGTCTGTCTTCTCTCCAGAGATAAATTCCAAACTCGCTGTATATCCTGTTAGTATTTTTTCTGTTTTGAGTTTTTGAGTGACGGTTTCCATCTGTAGTCCAAGATGGCCTTGAACTCTTGATCCTCTGGCCTCAGTCTCCCAAGTGCTAGGATTACAGGTGTGTACCACAAGGTATGGCTCTCATAATAGTCTTTCCCTGGTGAATTGTCATGTCTCTTTCTTCCGCTCTGGTAAGTCACACTAAGGTGGCACCCTGGTGCTGGGGCTGCCAGGCAGCCGATGGCGCAGAGGGGGCTCCTTACCCCCTCTTCCTTGGCGGTCATACCTCAAGACCATACTCATGCCCCTCCCTCCATCCACCCACTTTCTTAATTACATTTCCCCCTAAGGCTAGCATGGCCTCTGTCCTAACCAACCTGAAGGGACAGTTTTCATATGAAACAGAAGCCACATTGAATTCCCATCACATGCCACCTGTCTCCTACCAACCACTGGCTTTAAGCTTCTAGAATGGTTCATGGGATTTGTTCCGGGAAGTGGAGGGTGGTAGTGGTAGTCATGGTAGTTTTATCAGTAAGGTGAGTGATGCCGCACACTGTGTCTCTGCTGTGGTCTCCTCTTGGAAAATAGAGGCAATTGTAGTACCTGTCTTCCAGAATTGGTGGGCCTTAAATTAGTATCTGTAAAGAAAACCCTCTGATGCAGGGCGCTATGGCTTATGCCTATAATCCTACTCAGAAGGCTGAGATCTGGAAAGTTGTGGGTTAGAGCCAGCGTAGGCAGATAAATCCAATCCAATTAGCTAACAAACAGCTAGAAGTGCATGCCTGGCTCAAGTGGTGGAGTGCCAGTTGTCAGCAAGAGCTAGAACTCTTGAGGTCAAGTCCCATTAGTGGCACATACAAAGAAAGGAAGAAAGAAAGAAAGAGAAGAGAGAAAGAGAGAAAGAAAGAAAAGAAAGGAAGAAAGCAAGCATTCAGCTTGTAAGAGGTACTTAAAAGCTGCTTTTGATGGGCACACTCATTGTAAACACAGGAGAAAAGCTGGGCATTCCTGCCTTGATTTTGTACACGTCTCTGCTCTGAGCCAATCTCTCGAAAGTCACCTTGCAATCCAGGAAGGACAGATAACATCTTTATGACAAGAAACCTCTGCCAAGAACAAGAGAGTGTCTGTGGAACAGACAGACCCCTTGCCATGAGCGATGACCTGTTTATCTTGACTGGTCTTGACGACTGTAAGATCTTCTCCAGATCCTCTTCCAAGGCAAGGACTGATGTCATCAACCAGGCCACATTTGGACGGGGACTGTTTAATAATTATGCACACCTCTCTCCTTCACCTCCCAGTTTTTTTTTTTCACCTCCCAGTTTTTTGTCTATAAAACCTAAAGCTCATGTTTGTATCCCTGCAAGACCACTGAAGGCCAGTGAAGGGCAGTCTTCCCATGGCCTGTCTGTGCTTTGTAATACGCCTCCTTTCACTGCTTTTACTGCCCTTTAACTTGTCCCTTTGTTTGGCTCATAGTGGCTAGACTTGGCATATGAAACTCCTGAAATTTGGGCCTGGAGTCGAAAATCTCAAGTGTCAGGCAGACATCAGACCATTGACAAGCAATCTCTGCTAAGATTATCCCCAGGAGCTGGGCGCTGGTGGCTCACACCTGTAATCCTAACTACCCAGGAGGCTGAGATCTGAGGATTGTGGTTCAAAGCCAGTCTAGGCAGGAAAGTCCATGAGACTCTTATTTTTTTTCCCAGTCCTGGGCCTTGAACTCAGGGCCTAAGCACTGTCCCTGAGCCTCTTTGTGCTCAAGGCTAGTGCTCTACCACTTGAGCCACAGCACCATTTCCAGCTTTTTCTGAGCACTGTCCCTGAGCCTCTTCGTGCTCAAGGCTAGTGCTCTACCACTTGAGCCACAGCACCATTTCCAGCTTTTTCTGAGTAGTACGCCGGAGATAAGAATTTCAAGAACTTTATTGCCTGGGCTGGCTTTGAACCACAATCCTTAGATCTCTGCCTCCTGAGTTGCTAGGATTACAGGCGTGAGCCACCAGTGTCTGGCTTCCATGAGACTCTTATCTCCAATGAACCACCAGAAAAGCCAAAGTGGCGCTGTGGGTCAAAGTGGTAGAGTGCTAGCTTTGAGCAAAAGAGCTCAGGGAGAATGCCCAGATCCTGAGTTCAAGCCTTACAACTGGAAAAAAAAAAAAAAAATTCCCGGGCTAACTGGACACAGGAGGCATTTGGTTCTTATTTACTGAATAAATAAGGTGGTTTCAAAATTGATTATAAGTTTCTCAATCTCAAGGATGCTGGCAGAAAATCGTGCCTGGGTCAGGAGAGCCAAAGATTCACACCTCAGCACTGATTCATCAGGGAGTAGGGGAGCAATCTAGTAATTATACTTTCTGCAGAAAGTAGAGCCAGGTGTGCAGTACGTACCGCCATGACTCACAGGCGCATACACACACCTGCTGAGTTCCCTGCTGACAGCTCCCCACCCCCAGGTCAGGTTACAGGTGCAGAGCAAGGGGGCAGAAAAATCATCCTTCAACCTGGGATGCAAGTTTCCTGAGCCATTCAGAGCTCATGAGAGCTACTTTGCCTTAAATGGAATTTTGAAACTTTGAAATGTCGTCCTAAGCTTCTGGCTAAACCCTTGGAGGCCTTCATTTCCTCCCTGTAAATGCAGACTGCAGGATGTATTTCAGTAGCTTATTGGACAGTTATACACTGTGCAATAATTCAACCTATTTAAGGGGCCTAAAGAACAACCAGAATGACTTGTAAAGATTACTGAATACAAACACACCGGCCCCGCCTCAGCCAGCCACATTTTGGTTTAGTTCACTGTATGGCATTTGGCAATGTGTGGAGATATTTTTGGTTGTTAGGACTTAGGAAGTGCTACTGAGATCTAATGGGTATGGCCCAGGAGACTGCCAAATACCCTCACAGTGCACAGGACACCCCCAACCACCCACTCCAGAGGGTTTTCCAACTCTGAACATCAATAGAGCTAAGCTGAGTTAGTCTTATCAGCTCCGTGTTTACTATATCCTATAAGACATGTTTTAAGGCTGGAGGTGTGGCTCAAGGTAGAGCGCCTGCCTTGCGAGCATGAGGCCCCGAGTCCAAACTCCAGTACAGGAGGGAAGAAAAGGTGAAGATTGTTTTTTTACAGCTGGTAAAGAGCTTAGCAGGTTGGAACCTGAAGAGAAGAAAATGATTAGTATTTGAAAAAAAGAAAGAGAGAAAAAAAATTCCAACCGGGCTGCCGTGCGGCATCATTATGTGATGAAGAGCCCCAAGCTGCCAGTAAAGGTCAACCTTCCAGGAAGTTCTGAGAAACGCAGCTTTTCATATTGATTTCCTGGGTTACTCATCTTTCCTCATACTCATGGAGAAAGCCAGGGCTCCCCGACCCAGTCCAGAGGAGGAAGAGGGTATTCAGACAAACTACCTTGCGCAGATTCTAAGGTTGTTCTCAGAAGAAAAGCATTTGTCCATCCTCTGCGACTCCCACTCTCCTACCTTCTCCCATCCTTCCATGTACCTATCTTTCCTTCCTTCTGTCCATCTACCCACCCACCCACCCACCCATCTATTTGGCTATCCACCTACCCATCCACCTATTTATCCCTCCCTCCCTCCCTCTCTCCCTCCCTCCCGCCCTCCCTCCCTCTCTTCCTTCCTTCCTTCCTTCTTTCTTGCCTTCCTGCCTGCCTCCCTCCCTCCAAGCAAGTACTAAAGGCCGAGCACGTGTCTCTCAGTGTTAGAAATGCTGAGGTTTGATGGTAAAATAAGCTAGACAAGGCTTCACTCTCATGGAGCTTGTGGGAAAGAACTTAGGTGACTTGTTCACTTACAATATTGACTGTCTCCTTACAAGATCCTTGGCTACCACCACAGATGAATGGATCCAAAAATTGTGGTATCTATACACAATGGAATTTTATGCAGCCATTAGAAATGACAAAATAATGGCATTTGCAGGGAAATGGATGGAGCTAGAAGGAATCATGTTGAGCGAGGTAAGCCAAGAGCAAAGAGACAAACGGTACATGGTCTCCCTGATAAGTGGGTGCTAAATCCAAAATGTTAGGTGATACGACAAAACTAATAGGACTTAAGAAACAAAGAACTCCCACTCATCTGGTCGAACCACTACTAAATATCCCCATGCTGCTGATCACATGTATGGTGTATAACATGTGAACACCGTTATATGTTATAGACTGTGATAGACAATTTGCTCCAGGAAAGTTAGAATGAACTTGTGACTTTAAATGAGCATCATTATTCCACAATACTGTGAAATTCTGGAAATTATGTAATCACTTAATCATAATCAAAAAAAAAAAAAAAGAACCTTGAGGAAGGTAGGGAGGGAAGGGATGGTAAGGGGAAAACAATGGAGGGGGTAACAATGTTCAATAGGAAGAGTACTCATTACCTCACTCATGTAACTGTAACCCTCTGTATAGTATCTTTACAATAAAAAAGAAAGAAAGAAAAAAAAAGATCCTTGGCTATATTCTCTGAATCAAGGATCCCACAGATTAAAAAAAATTTTTTTCTTATGAGCCAGGTACCAGGGAGTCATATCTGTAATCCTAGCTACTCAGGAGGTTGAGATAGAGGATCAATGTTTGAAGACAGCCCAGGCAGTAAAGTTTATGAGACTCTTAGCTCCAATTAACCACCAAAAATCTGGAATTGGAGCTGTGGTTCAAATGGTAGTTTTAGCCTGGAGCCAAAAAGCTAAGGGATAACATCAGTGTGCATGCATGTGCACACCCCTACATTATGGGAGTGTCAGGTCTGCAAAATGGGGCAAAGGAGTTAAATGCCTGCATGGACCTCTAGAATCACACCTGGCACAGCACATGTACTCAACATCAGGTGGCTTTGTCATTACTACAACCACATCATCAGCTTCTCTCTCCTGGGGTGTGGCTGTGCTCTCCAGCAGCCTGAGTCCCACACTGCACACAAGGACCAGACAGTATGTTAAAAAAAAATGGCTGGACACCAGTGGCTCACGCCTGTAATCCTAGCTACTCAGGAGGCTGAGATCTGAGAATCAAGGTTTGAAGTCAGCCCAGGCAGGAAAGTCTGTGAGATATTATCTCTAATTAACCACAAAAAAGCCAGAAGTAGAGCTGCGGCTCAAGTGGTTGAAAAGCTAAGGGATGGCGCTCAGGCTCTGAATGTAAGCCCTAGTACTGGCACACGCACGCACACACACACACACACACACACACCGCAAAATGCAATTTTTATCTGATTTCTATACATATTATATGGGTGTCCTTACAAGAAATATAAAAAATAAAATACAAGAAAATATATAAGAAATAAAAATGATATATATGGAATAAAATATAAAAAGTATAAGAAAAAGAGGAGAGGCACGGGCAGTGCAGAGTCAGGGAGATGGCGACGCTTACAAGAAGACCAGGCAGCCCCTCAGCCACGTGGCTCAGGCCAAGGTGCGGCTGGAGCAGGCAGAAGGGACAGGACAGGAAGGATCCCCTACCACTTCCAGGCACCCCAAGCGGCTTGTGCTCATTGCTAGTGAGCCCAGGAGAAGCACAGCTGGGTAGAATCTCCAACTGCAGCCTAGGCAGGAGAATGCCCTGAACCTCTCTGCTGAGCACTTCCTCATCAGAAGATGTCACTGGAGCATCCCGTGAGCGGATATTTGCAGAGGAGAGGTAGTGGGCCCTATGCCAAGGTTTGGTCCCAGAAGGTCTCCGGGAATGAGAAGCTGTTACTGAGGCATCATGTTGAGGAGGTTCTAAGCTACAGCTGTGGTTCCCGGGAGCAGGCTATGAGACCCCCACCAGCATCCCAAGAGCTGTACCAAGGGGCTGGTCTTTCTCCTGAGTATACCAGGTGGGCGTGGGGCCAGGAGGTCTTGGGAAAGGTCCCTGAGCTACAGGAGGGTGGGCGGCAGGGGAATGTGAGGGGAGGAGCCACAGGGAAGTTGAGGAAGAAAGGAAGCGAGCAGTGAGCAGCAGCATTTGGCATCTGACTCGTGCTAACGAGCTCACTGCCAATGCTGCAGGCCCGGAGTCTGGGTGCCAAAACATTCCTCTGAGCCAGTCCATCTACAGGTGGCGCACCTGTCACTGGCTTCCCGTGTGCCCACAATGACAGAATTTAGCAAATCAACTTACCATCCTGGAGTGAGAAGCTCAGTAGGTCCTGTGTGGAAAAGAAAACCAGATTTAGGGAGGAGCCAACAGGCTGCCACCCAGCCCAGATGACTGTCACCCATTCCCATTCCTACCCATGAAGAACAAGACCTGCAGGACAGCAGTGAACAGGACAGAAAATTTAAGTAAGCAGCTGGGTATGGAAGTGGATGCCTGGACTCCCAGGATCTGTGAGTTTGAGGCCAGCCTGGACTAAGTAGTGAGAAAACTTGTCTCAAAACAAAACAAAACAACACTCTAAGGAAAAGCAATGTCAGGAATGTCATAAGGAAACAGCAATGTCAGGATATTAGGCAGTGAAAGAAAGGAAGGAAGGGGGCTGTCTTATATGGCACATGTCCACCAACTTCCTGTCAGAACCTTCTACCTGCTCTAGCTAGACACAGAGCTGGTGACTGACATACCTAGGGCCACACACCAAAGCTCTGGCCTCAGCAAAGAAGCATCATAGGTTAGTAGAGTGCAGGCTCTGAAATCAGACCTCCAAGGTTCAAAACCTGGCTTGGACACTTATCAGCTGTGTGACCGTGGGAAAATTATTTAACCTCTCTATGCCTTGTTCTTCTTGGGGGTCCGGTCATGGGGCCTGAACTCTGGGCCTGGGCACTGTCCCTTAGCTCTTCAGCTCAAGGCTAGCGCTCTACCACTTGAGCCACAGCACCACTTCCAGCTTTTTTTCCCCTGCTTATGTGGTGCTGAGGAATCAAACCCAGGGCCTCGAGCATGCAAGGCAAGCGCTCTACCACTGAGCCACCTTCCCAGCCCTTGTTCTTCTTTACTATGAAACAGATATGATTGCACAAGTTGGGTATCCCTGGTCTAAAAAAATACAAAATTCAGTCAGGCACTAGTGGCTCATGTCTGTAATCCTAGCTACTCAGGAGGCTGAGATCTGAGGGTGAAAGTTCAAAGCTCTATCTAGCCTTGAGCATAAAAACTCAGGGATAGCTTCCTGGCCCTGAGTTCAAGCCCCAGGACTGGATACCCCCAAATAAAATTAAAACAAAAACCCAAAAATTTAACAATTTTTTTTGTTTTTTTTTGGTCCAGTCGTGGGGCCTGAACTCAGGGCCAGGAAGCTATCCCTGAGTTTTTATGTCCCTCAGCTGTTCAGCTCAAGGCTAGCGCTCTACCACTTGAGCCACAGTGCCACTTCCAGCTTTTTTTTTCTTTTTGCTTATGTGGTGCTAGAGAATTGAACCGAGGGCCTCAGGCATGCAAGGCAAGCACTCTACCACTAAGCTACCTTCCCAGCCCAAAATTTTAACAATTTTTGAGTGCCAATAGGATACCACAGAAAAGCCCAGACCATGAAACTTTGTTTCAAATTATCCAAACTTGCACTGTATCCCATTCCCTTCCAGCTATGTGTATAAGCTCATATGAAACATAAACAAACTCGTCCTTTTAGATCTGAACTCCATCTCCAAGACTAAATAGGCAATACATCATGTGACTTATTTATGCCAACATGCAAAATGTCTTTCTGAACATACAAATACATCGGGATATGCAAATGCATGTCCAAATATGCAAATACCCCAAAGCCTGAGGGCAAAATGTCTGAAATTGGAAAACACTTCTGGTAGCAAGCATTTTGGATAAGACACACTCCACCTGCATTGCTCAGCTCTGGAAGTTGTCCAGAGTTAATGCTGTCAGGGTACTAATGTAATGTGCATGGTGAGCAGTCGACTGAAAGTAAGCGTTTGTCAGCACCAGCCATCACCATCATTTGATATCACGATGGACTGTTTGGTCTTCCTGCTGCCCCATTCCACCAGAGGTGATTTCCAGATGTATCTGGAAAGGAACTGACTTGTTCCCCAGTCCCTAACCCCTACCCCTAGGTATGAGTTCTACCTGTGTGATCATGGATGGGTCACCCTTCAAGGCTGGGTCCTTTGACAAAGTCTCAGCAAACATGTCTGCTCCTTCGCCTCCTAGGCCGCTGGCAAAAGCAGTCATGGTTGGCAGGACGGCTTCGGACAACTCCAGCCACTTCACCAGGCCTGCTACAAACTCGGAGCAAAAGGAGCTGAGATACGGGAGAGATGGCTTTAGTTCCCCTAAGTCATAGTCACAAAGGGCTAGAGGAATGGTTTAAGTGATAGCAAGTGTGAGGACCTGGATTCAAACTGCAGTATTACCAAATAATTTAATGACAAGTTGAGTTCATGGATATAAACTCTACAACACAGGGACTGTGAAATTCAGAGAGAGTCAAGCTGAAATGTTAGGTGACATGGATTTTACCTTCTGCACCCACCAAAAAGCAGGTACCAGTGCCTCATGCCTGGGATTCTAGATATTCAGAAAGCTGAGATCTGAGGATCGTGGTTCGAAGCCAGCCCAGGCAGGAAAGTCTGTGAGACTCTTATCTCCATTTCACCACCCAAAAAAAGGTGGAGCTTTGGCTCAAGTGGTAGAACACCGACCTTGAGCAAAAAAGCTAAGGAACAGTGCCCAGGCCCTGAGTTTGAGCCCTTGTATCTGACCCACCCTGCCCCCTTAAAAAAAAAAAAGCCTTCACCAAGATGCACATAAGCCACAGGGAAGAGGGCAGCAGGCATTGCTGTTCATGTGCTGGGGCCTGGGCCATGCTGGGGTATGAGGCATGGAAGCCAACAGGGGCGCTGTCCCCAGCGGGAGACTGAGTGAGTGGGAACTCAAGAGGAGAGGGAGCCCCACGGGCTGAGGCAGGCGCTGATAGCAGACTTGGGCTTTACTTGAGCCGGTGCAGGGGAGGGATCTGGGTAGATCTGGTCTAGCTCCCCAGCCAGACCCTGGCCTGTCTCAGCAGCACCCTGCTGGAACAGCAGCCCCAGGCTCTACACCCTGTGGCCAGGTTGGGAAGGGCTCTGGCTCTCCCTCCTCTTGCATGGCTCAGCATGCTCATTCCTGGCTGTGGAGTGGAGAGAGCCTGAGGCCAGGGCTGCTGACTGGTGGCGAGGAGCTCTACTCCAAATCCCAGTCTTGCAGGCACTAGGATCAAGCGCTAAGAAGCATCGGAGCAAGGTTCAGTAAGCACAAAATGCCCTACTAATGTCAGCCAGCATCACGGTCGTGGTTTCTAAGGTGACTGAGGACGCAGTGGCAGACAGGGTCAGACTCTGACGTCCAGCCACCCGGGAGTATCGGGTTGTGCCCTCCTGTCTCCTTCCTCAGCTTCATTTTCCTGGGCTGTAAAACTAACAGGCCATGCCTGGAGGAGGTGGGAAGGCAAAGTGAGGAGGAGCAGTAAACGTTATCTGCTGAGCTGCCAGTCTGATAACAGGTCCCAGCGTGACTCTGGGATTAGCCCAGGGTGGCACGGGGTGTGCCCTGGGCAGGGATGACTTCAAGAATGGCAGGGAAGTGAACAGCACGTAGGGGCTCAGGGTCAAAGATAGCAGCCGGGCTTCCTGCTACTGTCTGGGAAGAACATCTTGGATGGAAAGAAACACTGCAGGACATAGTCACAGGTTAAAGAGCCTTGGGCACCAGTTGGAGTCCCAGCGTGGCCATCAGCTGTGTGGTCCTGGATCCATTATTTCACCTCTAGGAAGAGGTGTCGATAATGATGAAAACAAACTCATTAGGTTGTTAGAAGGACTAAGCAAGCCTCAATCATATGCGTAGGACAGTAACTGGCACTGTCTCTTTCTTTGGTGATAAGTGGATTATTCCTGCCCCAACCCACTAGGAGGGAGGTCTTATTAAATTTAGAGACCTGGAAACCCAGGTCTAGGGAAGTCCAGACGTCCATCTCTTAGACTCCAATGGCCACACTCACCCACTGCAGACTGAAGGGAGACAGCTCCCTTCAGTGAGTACACTACCAAGTGCTACGATGTGCCAGGCACTCACAGAGCAGGGCAGAGATCATTGTGCCCATCCTTCCCCGCCTCACAGGTGGGGCACCTGCACTGCAGACGGTCAAGGTCTCTGGTATCTCCCAGCAGGGGAAGGCTGGAGCTGCCCCCCAGAATCCAGCTTTCCTCACTCACTCCCCTTCCTGGGAACCTGGCCCATGGTTTGTTTTTATAAATAAAGTTTTATTGGCACACAGCCACATTCATTCCTGTCATGAAAGGAACTGTGTGACACAGACAACATGGCCTGAGAGTCTAAATCTGACCTTTGGCAGTGGAGTCTGCTGACTTCTGTCAATCTCAGCAGTTTCTACATTTTCCTTTCCCTTTTTCCCTTTCCTCTTCCTCTTCCTTCTCTTCCCCCTCCTCCTTCTCCTCCTCTCTCTTTTCCTCATTTTCCTTCTTCATCTTTTTTTGTGCCTGTCCTGGGGCTTGAACTCAGGGCCTAGACTCTGTCCTTGAGTTTTTTTTTTTGTTTGTTTGTTTTGTTTTGTTGGTTCAAGGCCAGCACTCTACCATTTGAGCCACAGCTCCAGTTCAGGTTTGTTTGTTTGTTTTTGTAATTAACTGGAGATAAGAGTCTTGCAAACTTTCCTCCCCAAGTTGGCTTCGAACCTTGATCCTCAGATTTCAGCCTCCTGAGTAGCTAGGATCACAGGTGTGAGGCATCAACTCCTAGCTCTGTATTTTTCTTAAAGACAGAGTCTCACTATATAGCCCAGGCTGGCTTCAAACTAGATACCCTTTGCCTTGACTGCAATTTGCTTGTTCTTTAACAGTTTTTATTTTTATTATAAAGGCGATATACATAGGAGTTACAAAAACCAGGTAACAAGTACATTTCCTTTTCGACAATGTCACCCCTTTTTTCGCTCTCTCCCAGTGGTTCCGCCCTTTTTTTTTTTTTTTTTTTTTGTCAGTCCTTGGGCTCTTTTTTTTTTCCCTCAAGGCTAACACTCTATCACTCGAGCCACAGCCCCACTTCCAGCTCTCTTCTGTGATTAACTGGAGATAAGAGTCTCATGGACTTTCCTGCCTCAGCCAGGAACCACAATCCTCAGATCTCAGCTTTCCGAGTAGCTAGAATTACAGGCATGAACGACCTGGGTTGGGCTTGGTCCTGCATTTTTAATAAATAGAATCAATGGTAAAGGAACCAAACATGGTAGAGGAGTCCTGTAAGCCTAGTACTCTGGAGGCTGAGGCAGGAAGACCGTGAATTTGAGGCCAGCCTGGGCTATATAGCTAGATCCTATCATAAACAAAACACCAAACAATTAAAGAAAACCCAACAACAAGAAAAGCATCATAAAGAAGATCATCTATGATGATTACAGCATGAATAAAAAGTAAATATTTTAGACATTCGTTTTGTTTTGAAACCCCTCATGGACAAAAACTGTTTTTCTAAACATCACAGGTACCAACTGCCTATCTAGGCTTTAAAAAGACAGAGGTTTCTAAGAAACGAGGCAGCAACTGGCATGCTGAATGGGAAAATGAAGAAACCAGCCCAAACTTCCAGCCAGCCCATAGCCACAGCCACCTGTGCTCAGACAAGTACCGCGGAGAAGGGGATGGGAGGGAGACCCCAGACAACCACTCACTTCCCCCCAAAACCCTCCAGAACAGGCATGGCACAGCGTCGGGTTGAAACTTCTGTTGTTATTGTTGTTGGTGGTTGTGGGACTTGAACTTAGGGCCTGGGCGCTGTCCCTGATTTGTTTCACTCAAGGCTAGTGCTCTACCACTTTAAGCCACAGTGCTACTTCCCGTTTTCTGGTGGTTAATTGGAGATAAGAGTCTCACGGACATTCCTGCCTGGGGTTGGACTTGAACCACGATCCTCAGATCTCAGCCTCCTGAGTAGCTAGTATTATAGGCGTGAGCCACCAATGCCCGGCTGGGTTGATACATCTTTATGCAAGGAAAGCATACAAAGTTCTTCTCTGCACATGGGATTTTTAGGTAAGGGTTCATCAGGTAGGCTACCAGGCTGGAGAGACTTCTGGAAAGATGGAGGCTTCCCATGTATGCCACAAGTAGAGACTAGAGTGGGAAGTGAGTCAGACTCTTGCAGGAGATGGAATAAGGACTATCCAAGATGCTGCCGCCAATCCACTGAGGATGAGGCGTTGTTGTTATTGTTATTATTAATTATATTTTTGAATACAGAGCCTTGTGCATGGGTCTCATTTTTTTAATCCCCTCATACAAACATACTAACATTTCATCTGCTTAAATTCTACCTCTGTTACTTATTTCCTATCCATCTACTTTGAATGAAAAATCTATTCATTCCAGTAATTGTGAGTAATCTATAATTAAAGTAACACTCAGGGCTGTATTAGAAGTCTTGTTAAATAATCAACATTTAAGATAATGGTGTCTAGTAACCTTTTTATTTTTTAATGTTGGTACTGGGACTTGAACTCAGAACCTGGACGATGTCCTTTAGCATTGACCATTGAAGGCTGGATGCTTCACTATTTGAGCTCTACCATTTGGTGCTCTACCTCTTCTGACTTTTTGCTGACTAACTTAGGATAGGAGTCTCATGGGCTTTTCTGCTCAGGCTGGCTTGGGACTGCGATCCTTAGATCTCAGCCTCCCCTGAAGAGGGAGGAGCTCACCTGTGCTCTGTTTCTGGAAACAGCTGGGACAGGGAGATGGAACTGAGGGCCGCATAGGCAAAGCGGCTGGCCTCCGTCAGCTCCCGGCCCACAGGCAGCTGTGCTTCCGGCTCTACAGACGGTCCAGCCACCAGGGGCTGCCTCTGGCTCGGCCTGTTCCATGTGGCCATTCCCAGTCCTATGAAAGAAAATCCCACTGAGAGAAGCTTCTCGGGACAGGTGAATGTCACCTGAACAGGACACACAATCTTTCAACCATAGAAGGAAAGAGGACACATCCACTGTCCTTAAAACAATGAACTCTATACTCCCCACTAAATAGCCCAGGCTGGCTTTGAACTGGGGATTCTTCTACTTCCTGCAGCCTGGACAACACTGTTTCAGGGACACGCAAGAACAGGCTCCAGACCAGACAGACCTGGCTGTGAAACCAGACACTACCACCTACCACCTGAAACTCATCCTGAGTGCACTCCACCAACGAAAGAGATAATCATGGAAGAGGCACAGGGCCTGTGAACGGCAGCCCGTGTGAAATACTGAGAATGGAGCTGCCCAGGGTTCACGCTGCAAGCTCGCTTGTTAGAGAAACAAATGCATAAAAGCATCAACAAACAAATAAATGAAAGGTTTAGCTAGTACCTGGCCCGTCATACAGGTATAACAAATACTACTAAAAAAATTGTTCAAGGATGGCATTCTACTACTTGAGCCACAGTCCCATTTTCAGTTTTCTGCTGGTTAACTGGATATAAGAGGCTCACAGACTTTTCCTACCAGGGCTGGTTTCAAACAAGGATCCTTGGATCTCAGCCTCCTGAGTAGCTAGGATTACAAGCATCAGCCACCAGTGCCTGGTTTTCACTTTTTAAAGATAGGATCTCCCTCCCTGCCCCAGCACTTGCCTGAACCCAAATCTTTCTTCTACTTTTAGAGTTACTGTCGAAGGTGGGATCACAGTCTGTAGACCATGTTCAGCTTCTCTCTGTGGAGATGGAGTTTCAAAGACATTTCTCAGTTCTAGGCTGGCCTAGAACTGCGATCCTCCCAACCTCAGCCTCCTACCTAGCTTGGGATGATAGGCGCATATCACTGCACCCAGCTAAGGGTTAAGAAGGGGGCCCCTGGAGCTTTTCTGCAAGGGTTGCTTGGAATCTCAATCCTCCTGTTTTCAGTCTCCCAGGTTGCTAGGATTACAGGTGTGAGCCACCAGTGCTGGCCCCATCACGTTTTAAATAATGATCCTTTTGCTAAGGGCTCCTTCTCACTCCATTCACTGAAGAATGAAATTTTTGTTCTCTCACTATCATTTCTTTGCAGGAGTTATGTACTCTATCACAACTAATATTTCATCCATTTCAAAAATAATCCTGAGGGCCGGGCGCTGGTGGCTCACGCCTGTAATCCTAGCTACTCAGGAGGCTGAGATCTGAGGATCGCGGTTCAAAGCCAGCCCGGGCAAGAAAGACCGTGAGACTCCTATCTCCAATAAACCACCAGAAAACCGGAAGTGGCGCTGTAGCTCAAGTGGTAGAGCGCTCGCCTTGAGCTGAAGAGCTGAGGGACAGTGCCCAGGCCCAGAGTTCAAGCCCCATGACCGACAAAAAAAAAAATAATAATCCTGAGGTAGTTAAAAGCAACACACGACCTTTATTTTCTCAGTGAGGGACAGTTCACAAAGCACTTTCCAACCCATTTAATTCTCACAAATCACCATGGAAACCCAAACCATCACAATGCTCTCCTTCAGCCAGGAGCAGGCTCAGAGAGGCCAAACAATTTTCCTGTGTCACACAGTAAGCAATGAGATCCAAATCAGACTTGTAATATCAAGCCTCCAGCTCTCTCCTCTATAACTGCATAGGAATCTTCCCTGCCTTGTCTCAGGCCCAGATAGGCTCAACCATCCAGCAAGATTGATCTCTCATGGGTTCCCCAGGAACCCAAGTTTGAGGTTCACAAAGGATTTGCTGACACTGTGGAGGTAGAGAAAGGGGGACAGCACAAGCCACGATGTGGGGCAGGGCCCTGGGCGGCACAGCCATGATGCTGGCAGGCTCAGCGATTTCCACTCCGTTTAATCAATTCCACAGACCATTTGCAGGCTGCTGTAATTATGCCAGTTACCCGAGGGAGCCCAAGATGGGATTTTATTGGACTGGTATCTGGGGAGACCCAGGCAGCTCTCAGTTCAAGAATACGTAGAATAAGCACTGGTTTGTCTCTAATCACAAGGGAGAAGGGGCTGGGCTTAGAGTGGGAAAAGTTCACTTCAGACTTTGGCCAACAATTTTTGTTTTTTGTGTTTGTTTGTTTGCTGGTCCTGGGGCTTGAACTCAGGGCCTGGGCTCTGTCCCTGAGCCTTTCTATGCTCAAGGCTAGCGATCTACCACTTGAGCCACAATGGCACTTCCGGCTTTTTCTGAGTAGTTTACTGGAGATATGAGTCTCATAAACTTTTCTGCCCAGGCTGGTTTAAAACCATGATTCTCAGATCTCAGCCTCCTGAGTAGCTAGGATTAGATTACAGGAATAAGCCACCAGTATCTGGATTTATTTTTTTTTTTTTTTGCCAGTCCTGGGGCTTGAATTCAGGGTCTGGGCACTGTCCCTGAGCTTCTTTTGCTCAAGGCTAACATTCTACCACTTTGAGCTACAGCGCCACTTCCAGCTTTTTCTGTTTATCTGGTTCTGTAGAATCGAAGCCAGGGCTTCATGAATGCTAGGCAAGCACTCTAGCACTAAGCCACACTTCCAGCCCTTGTTATTGTTTTTAATGCCGGTGTTGGGCTTGAAATCAGGGCTTCACACTTGTTCAGCTTGCTCAGCTGGTGCTTAGCCACTTGAGCCATACCTCCAGCCTAGCCACATGATGCTCTCTTGGTACCTTAGCACTCTGGGCTAAGGTAAAACAGTAGTGCCAGTGGTCCTTTGGTCATGTAGATCAATTCTGTCATTTACCTGCTCAGGAGCTCTGAGGCCTTCTACCAGAATAGATGCTGACACCTCCAGACACCTTCTACAAAATCCTGCGCCCCACAAGCCCCTGCTCGTCCCTTGAATCCTGGCTCATCTACTACCCCTGAGTTGCCTTTTTGTTCTTAATATGCAAGAATAGCCCCTCCTCTGACCTCTGCAACTGTCCGGCACCTTCCCCAGACTGTCACATCTGGCTTCAGCCTCCTCTGAGAAGCCTTCCCCAACTACCCAGACTGAAGCCTCTCTCTGTTCCTCTATCCTACACCCGGCTCCATGGTTTTACTTACTGGTTTACCTACGTAAACAGAATGTAAACTTGCCTTTCTCCTTACCATCCCCTAGCTTTCTGGGAGGGCCTGGAGGTAGCAAACATCAAACAGGTTTGTGCTGGGAAGGGAAGGGCATTTGATGTGGAGGGGTGGCAGACACCTAATGAGGCCATGGTCCAGGCTGCGAGCTAAGAAGGGGAGGAATGGATGTGCACACTAGGTCTGGCTGTTGGATCCATGGGCTTTAATCCACAAAGTGAATGAAGAAACACAGGGGCAGGAAGTGGACACCAGGGCAGGAGAAGGGGGACAGGAAGTGAAGAGGCAGTGGGTGGTGACTAGGCCTGTAGTTGGAAGGTAGAGGTGAGTTCGGCAAGATGGAAGGGAGACCAGGGGGTAGGACAGGAAGAGGGCAGAGGTGCTCCTGAGGAGAAGGGGGTGGGGGAAAGAGGAACAAGTAAGAGGGAGCCAGAACCCCCAATTTTTTTTCCCTGCAGAAGGAAATGGTTAGTCTGAGAGCCAAGGGCTTGTCTCAGGCAGAGAGTATAGCATAGGTCATCAAGACCATGTCTTTAAAGAACCAAAAGATGCTCTCTGTATCCAGGGCTCAGCCAATGAATGGGCCTGGAGTGATGTGAGGGTGGGGAGTGGTTGCCAAGGTTACACCTACAAGACTGAGTGGTAAGGGTAATGGCTGGGCAGAGAGAGGACTGCCAGGGCTTGGGACCTGCTTGTACCAGTTCCTCAACTTCCTGCGAGTCTATAATTATGTTGAAATAAAACTAGGATGTCAGCTGGGCTCCAGGGACCTGAATCTTAGCTACGCAGGAGGTGAAGATCTGAGGATCGAGGTTCAAAGCCAGCTGGGACTGTGAGACTCTTATCTCCAATTAGCCACTAGAAAACTGGAAGCAGTGCTGTGGCTCAAAGTGGTGGAGCACTAGCCTTGAGTGGAAGAGCTCAGGTGACAGCACCCAGGCCCTGAGTTCAAGCCCCACCACTGACAAAAAAAAAAGTGGGATGTCTCTGGAAATGTATAGATCTTTTCTTAAGACCAAAATGCACTGTAAATACTTCTCTTACAGATTAACTAGTTAATTTAAATAAACATATACTTGAACTTGCAAGGTGCTGGGCACTATTCTACCTTACTACAGGGGACATGGAGAAGAATTGTGACAGAGACAGACAGACATGACCACACTCATGCTAGCAAGAAACAGACAATAAGTAACATAAGCCCAGAAATATTATATTTAAGTCATGACCAAGGACCTGAAGGAAAAGAAACTTTAAATAATACTTACCTAGGAGTTTGAGAAACAGTGTAGGCTTCTCTCTTTCTGAAGACAGGTTGTTCTGCTTCAAAGAAATATGCAAATCACTGTCTGGGGCAGAGGGGGTGTGTGGGGGGAAGCAAACCAGAAAAACCAGCCCTTGGGTCCACAAGATGTGGAACCTGGAGGAGAGAGGGAAGCAGTTAGTTCTGCCTCCAGGGAGCCTGGCTATATTGCCACCCCTGGGCCTTTGCCCCTGTCAGACCTTTTACCAGTGGGGTGGCAGGCGGCTCCCACTTACCACATACCCACTGTGTGCTTGCTCGGGATTGTCTCAATCATGTTCCTGTTCTAGCTTTGTCCCCTGAGCTGTGATCACAGCACCCAGCTCCTGGTTTAGGTTGGGCACCAGAGAGCAGGCATTCTTTCCTCCATATCTATGTTCCTGTGCCCAGCCAGGTGCCAGCCAGATCGGGTTCTCAGAATATGCCAGTTATAGGAACAAGAGTGAATAAACTTGGCTCAAGCAAGAGTTGAGATCTCCCTGATTTTCTCTCTCCTTCACAAACCAATTGGAGCATCTGATGAGAAGAGGAAAGAGAATAGGGCCCAAGTGTCTGGAAGCACCCAAGGTAATTTTCAGCTTCCAAAGCTGGGTGCCTCTTCAATTTGAGTCTCATCCTTTGTTCAACTTTTATGATACTTAGGATTGAACCCATGGCCTCACACTGCTGAGCAAATTCACCACTCAGTGCTCCTCCCCATTATTATTATTATTATTATTTTTGAGTCTGGTCGTGGGGCCTGAACTCTGGGCCTGGGCACTGTCCCTCAGCTCCTCAGCTCAAGGCTAGCGCTCTACCACTTGCGCCACTTCCAGCTTTTTTCTTTTTTCTTATGTGGTGCTGAGGAATCGAACCCAGGGCCTCATGCATGCAAGGCAAGCACTCTACCACTGAGCCACCTTCCCAGCCCCTCATTCTTATTTTGAATTGAGTTTTACTAAATTAGCCAGGCTGGCCTTGAACTCCTGATCCTCCTCCCTCCGTCTTCTGGTAGTTGAGCTTACAGAGGTGCGTGCCCATAGCTGGCCTCTGGCCATTTTAAATGTCAGTGAATATTATTTTGTGTGCATGTGTCTGTGTCTTTAAGCCTCAGTTGGCTTTTCAATAAATTACCACGGATTATGACAATTGACAATTATCCCGTCCCCTAGAGGCTACCTTCCTCTAGGACGAATTATACCTAAAAATAAGGATAGTCAAACTATGAGCCCAATCGTGTAAAAAGATACGGAGAAGAAATATGACTAAGACAGCTTCCAAAATTATCTCTGAAAAGGGAAATTGCAAGATGTCTCTAAATTTCCCACATTTTCTTCCATAAACACATAAAGTTGTCTGAATATGACTGTCCATGAGAGGGAACCATTAGGGGTAATGATAGTGACATAGCATGCTGACAGTGGCTGAATCTAAGGCGAAGGAGGCTGGATTCTGGGTAATTTAACTTTCTTCATTTTTATTTGTGTTTTGTGGGTTCCATAAAGACCCACAGTGGAAGGTTTGGTCATATGACTGTGGTGCTGGTCCTGAGGGCTGAACTCAGGGCCTGGACACTATCACTTAGCTGTTCACTTAACACTGAGTGCTCTACCACTTGAGGCTCAACATCACTCCTGACAAAAAAGGGGCTGGGAAGGTGGCTCAGTGGTAGAGCGCTTGCCTTGCATGGCTGAGGCCCTGGGTTTGATTCCCCAGCACCACATAAGCAAAAAAAAAAAAAAAAAAAAGCCCCAACACCCCCCCCCCCCGCAAAAAAAAAATTATATAGCCAGCAATGATGAGGAAACCAAAGATGGTCACTATCATCCTGGAAAACCCTTGAACTTGCCCCAAATGGCACAACTCTGGCCTTTAGAAGATCCTATGCTAAGTAAACTTTTATTTTACCAAGTGTGGACCATTTTCCTGCTTACAGCAGTCAATGAAGGTCAAGGTCAAGTATGACTGGACTCTGTGTGTGTGTGTGTGTGTGTGTGTGTGTTTGTGTGTGTGTGTGTGTGTGTGTGTGTTTGTGTGTGTGTGTGTGTGTGTGTGTGTGTGTGTGTGTGTGTGTGTGTGTGTTGTCTCCTCTTTCTGGTCACAGTTGAATTTTTTTTTTTGGGGGGGGTGGGGTTTGGGTCCGATCGTGGGGCCTGAACTCTGGGCCTGGGCGCTGTCCCTCAGCTCTTCAGCTCAAGGCTAGCGCTCTATCACTTGAGCCACAGTGCCACTTCCGGCTTTTTTCTTTTTGCTTATGTGGTGCTGAGGAATCAAACCCAGGGCCTCATGCATGGAAGGCAAGCGCTTTACCACTGAGCCACCTTCCCAGCCCCACAGTTGAATTTTTATGTGATTAATTTTTTCAAGTATTTTGGTTCCTCTGTTAACCAAATAATAGAGATGAACAGAATGTCTTGGGAAGACTGGAAACTAATTGTTCTGAATCAAGGACAAGAAAAAAAAAACTTTAAAAAGAAATACTTTCTAATGCACAGGACTGCAATGGTGCTCTTAAAGCTAGACACTACCGATGGTAGGCTGAAACACAGAATAGACATGCACATAGAGAAGATGCTTTTAGAAGGGAAGGTTCCAGACAGGCCCAGAATTCCCTGTCCTTTTACCTCCCAACCTGCCTATCCAATTCCACCTACAAAGGGCAGGAGAGAAAATCATTCTTTTTACACCTAGAGTCAAACTGCAAGCCTGAGGTAAATGAAGTGTCTCAGGAGGTCTCCATGGCAACAGACACAACACAGAAGAACCCAGAGGATTCTGGGTAACCACATTACACACCAAAAAGGGGTGAGAGACATGGCCAGGAAGGAGAGTTGCCACCCTCTTTCTTATTTCAGAGCTGAGAGAGTACGCAGGATGGGAGGATGGGGTAGCACGAACACCTAGGCTCTACGGTAGGTCTCCCATTACCACACTGTCTTCCTTCTCTGCTGGGGCTTTGGCATAAGCCACCTGGGGCTCTCATGTGGATCACAGTGGGAGCCCTCTCACCTGTCTCTTTCTGCCTCATCTGAAGCCAGTCGTGATGCCACAAGACAGTGCTCTCGTGAACAAAGGCAGCCTGTGCTCTTCCTCCGCTCTAAACTCCCAGGCGTTCCTTCTCATGAGTCAAGTCCCCTATAAAGGTCACAGGGTTTCTGAGACTGTAAGCTAGTACAACCACTACGGAACTCAGTATGGAGGTTCCTCCAAAAACTGAAAATAAGAGTTACCATAAGATCCAGCGATCCCACCCTGAGACATTTACCTGAATGAATATGTCAGGACACAATAGAAGGACCTGCACACTCCTGTTCATTGCTGCACTATTCCCAATAGCCAAGCTATGAAAACAGCTCAGGTGCCTTACAATTGATGAATGGCCCAAGAAAATATTATATATATATTTATATAACATATCACATATAATACATATGTGATATATTAGATGTAATTTATAATGAAGTATTATTTTATTGACTACCCCAGAAAAAAAAGATATATGTTTTGTTTTTATGCTTGAATTCAGGGCCTAGGTACTTGCTCTTTAACATTTTCCCCTCAAGGCTAGTGCTCTACCATTTGAGCCACAACTCTATTCTTGCTTTTCTGATGGTTAATTAAGAGCTCAGAGTCTTAGGGCTGGGAAGGTGGCTCAGTGGTAGAGCACTTGCCTTGCATGCATGAGGCCTTGGGTTGGATTCCTCAGCACCACATAAGCAAAAAGAAAAAAGCCGGAAGTGGCGCTGTGGCTCAAGTGGTAGAACGCTAGCCTTGAGCTGAAGAGCTAAGGGACAGCTCCCAGGCCCAGAGTTCAGGCCCCCACAATTGGACTCCCCCCCCACAAAAAAAAAAAAGAGATCAGAGTCTTATGGACTTTCCTTCCCAGGTTGACTTCAAACTGGGATCCTCAGATCTCAGTCTCCTGAGTGGCAAGGATAACAGGCATGAATCACCGCACCGGCACCCAGCTGTGTGTTATCTCTTTTCTACCTAACAATTCTTCTGGGCAGTGCTATCATCCCTGATATACAAGTGGGGATAGAGGGGTCCTTAAGAGATCAAATTCAAGGTCACTGGATAATAGTATTTAAACTCATATCTGGGTCTTCATCCAAGGCAGCCACCTTAACTCTGATAAAACTGTATTTCTCGGGCTGGGAAGGTGGCTCAGTGGTAGAGCGCTTGCCTTGCATGCCTGAGGCCCTGAGTTCGATTCCTCAGCACCACATAAGCAAAAAGAAAAAAAAAGCCAGAAGTGGCGCTGTGGCTCAAGTGGTAGAGGGCTAGCCTTGAGCTGAAGAGCTGAGGGACAGCGCCCAGGCCCAGAGTTCAGGCCCCACGACCGGACCCAAAAACAAACAAACAAACAAAAAAAAACTGTATTTCTCTTTGGTTATGTTTATACCAGAGGGGGCCCAAAACATTTCAGACACAAGGCTAGCAATGTGGTTTAGTGGTAGAGTGCCTGCCTAGCATGCATGAAGCCCTGGGTTTGATTCCTCAGTAAACAGAAAAGGCCAGAAGTGGCGCTGTGGCTCAAGTGGTAGAGTGCTAGTCGAGCAAAATGAAGCTCAGAGACAGTGCCCAGGCCCCAGGACTGGCAAAAACAAAAACAAAAAAAACTAGACACAATTAGAAAGCTATCAGTCTAATGAATCTCAATGGCTCCCACCCACTACAGTGTGTGTGTGTGTGTGTGTGTGTGTGTGTGTGTGTGTGTTGTGTGTAACTGGCCTTTCTGACTTACCTCTACTCTCCTTTTCCAGGCAGTCCTCAGTTCAAGTGCATTCTTGGCTGGCCAAGTCCATATGGGAATCCTTAGCTCAGACAGCTCTCGAGCTGTGGCTCCATGCACAAATGGTGTTCAATAGTGAGATTCCCTGGGGTTCACTCTCCCCATCCTATCTCTGTTTCACGACGACGATCTCCCTAGGAAGTGATGAACATGTTACGATAAGAAAATCCATGCCTACCTGCCCAAATGGGGAGTCCACACAGCTAGTACGTGTTCTTCCTACAATGCACACCCCCCTCAGGTCTGGATGACTGCAAACCCCAAGCTCCTTTCCTGAACCTCAGAGGGCTCAGGAGCTGCCTTCCTAGATTTGTCCAGTGGCTATGGGACCTGCAGCCTCTGAAGTTCCAAAGGCTCAGTCTCCTCACAGAGAGAATGGCTGGGTAGAATGGTTGCCTGGTCTCCTGACCAGGAGGGGTGGGGTGGCTGAGAGGCAGAGTATCTTCTTTTCTCATGAGAGCTTCAGTATTTACTCTGCCCCACCGCTGCCTCCTCATCCTTCCCTGCATGATTTTTTTCCCCTCCAAACGTGGTCACTCCCAGACAATGAAGCAAAGCTTTGTTTGCTTATCTGTCTCCCCCACTAGGGAAAGCTTCAAGGGGCAAGTGGCTCTGATAGCCTGTTCCCTGAGGAATCCTGGGACCTACCCTAGAACAGCCCCTGGCTTTTGCATGACTGAAGGGAGGAACACCAGTGCACATAACTCCCTCCACTAGTGAGGAATGACTTCAGCTTATCTTTTTGAAGGACAAACGTTTTCTATAAAGTGAGGTCCCTAGCGTGCTCAAGTAGAGCTTTTTGCAGGTAGATTTCATTCCTGACTCAGACCCAGCGCTGGAAATCCCAGGCTGGTGGTACTGCACAGAGGCAGAAACAAATCAGTGTATTTATTTATAGTTTGCTTAGCTTTGCTGGTACTGTGGGGTTGGGGGGTGGGGCTTGAGTTTAGGGCCTTGAGCTCAGGCTTTCTGCTCTACCACTTGAGTTACAGGTCCACTTCTGGCTTTCTTTCTTTCTTTCTTTCTTCTTTCCTTCTACTTTCTTTCTTTCTTCTCGTTCATTGAAGATAAGAATCTCTCAGATTTTGTCTGCCTGGTCTGGCTTTCACCTAGACTCTCTAATCTAAGCCTCCTGAATAGCTAGAATTACAGGCATGAGCCACCAGAGTGCACCCCTGACCTTTCACATAGATGGTGGACTCTGGGTTGGGCTAAAATCTGAGGAATGGGGAGGTGTTTACCAGGAAGAGGAGTGGTCCAGGGGAGCTTGTGCAAAGGCCCTAGGGGCATGTGTGGGCTGGAGGGCTATTAATAAAGTGCTCTGAGATGGGCTGCAGACTAGGCCAGACTTAGGCGAATGGCCTCAAAGTCCAGGTAACAAGGTTTTGCTGTTTTCTCTAAGAACACAGAAAGGCACACGAGGTTTATGGTGGAGTGTGGTACAATTGGAATGGGTCCATCTGGCTGCCTGAGTGGAGGTCAGCGAAATAGTGGGTTCTCTCTCCAGCCACCTTCCTGCCTGCTGTACCATGTTCAAGGACTCCCACCCTCCCCAACAGGCCAGTCCATTTTATAATGTGGATCCCTGTTTACAGAACTCTTAGGGTGTAAGTACATAAGAAGACTTGATAATAAAGCCACCTGACGGCAGTGCTCAGCCCCATTTGGGCCATCCCAGTGGCTGCTCTGGCCTTCACAGCCCCGTGAAACCCACAGAGGGAGATAGTACCAGGCTTGGGAGGAATTCTCCACATTCTGCCTTCACAGGAAGCTCTAGCATCCCAGTCAGTCCACTGCCCCTCCCCATCCCCAGCTTTGGTCCTAAAAGTCAAACCCTGAAGCTTAAGCATCCCAGTAAGCCCCCCCCCCCTTCATCCCCCCTTCCCGGCCACCCTTCACTCCTCAGTTTTGGACCTAAAAGTCAAAGTCTGAGTGCCAGACAATGCCCATGAAACAAGCACCCTGGTGTCTTCAGCTCCTTCCATCCTCTGACAATCATGCAGGTAGGTTATGAACTAGGCCCTCCACAGGCTCCAGACCACTTAGACCACTAGGTGCACATGGCTCATGCCTGTAATCTCAGCTACTTCAGGAGGCTGAGATCTGAGGATCACAACTGAAAGCTAGCCTGGAGAGGAGAGTCTGTGAAGACTACAGAGCCAGAAGACTATTCAGGGAGTTGACCTGGTAGGAGCTGTCTGTTTCAGGAGCTTGGAGGGACCTCAGTATCCTTGCCTGGAATTCAGGCCCCCAGTCTCTGTGTCACAAGTGTCTTTTCTGGGAGGACTAACAGGAGCCATGGTAGCTCCTAGGTACCTTTGAATGGCTGGAGGAAGAACTCAGCGGTAGAGCAAGGTTTAGTGTATGCCTAAGGCCCTGAATTTGATCTCTAGCACCAATAAACGAATCAATCAATGTATAAATAAACATGTCAACAAATAAAATACACCCTTGCTCGTGTCTAATCTGGCAAGGCCTGATACAGGCTACACTTTGTCCCTGTGCATTACAATTTATGGGAGACATTTTGATATATCTCATGTGCGCAATGATCCCTGTTGCACGATAAGAAAATGGAGGCCCAGAGGGGGTCACCCAAGTTCACACAGCTGGGAAGTGATAGTACCAGGACTCTAGGCTCTGACCTTACTTTGGGGGTGTGTGTGGGGGTCTTACTTGCCACTCTCTACCCACCTGCCCCTTCCCTTCTATTGCAGTCTTCGGGAATGGGGACACTTAGGATGGCAGAAGCATCTTCAAATGAGACCCACTAAGACCGAGGCTCTGAGGGGACCGGGCATGGCACCTGCTTCTGCCAGTTCGGCTGTGTCTCCGTGTGACGGGGGAAGGACAGAGAAAGGGCACTGTGGAGAGCAATCGTGCCCAACCGCGGGTCCGATAAGGAGGGTTCTCATGTTCTCAGTCCTGGCCATCCTGAGAGGCCCTGGCGCGGGGTGGGGGCTGGGCTTCCTCGGGTCACCCGGGGAATGGGGCTTGGAGTCCACTGAGGGCCAGGCGCCTCGGAGGGGCCGGGAGAGGTGACCCCGCCCGCGCGCGGAGGGAAAGGGGGGGTGGACGTCCAGCGACCCCGCTGACCCCCCCTCCCCCCGTGACCTCGGGCAGCCCCTTTCTCCAGGCCCACACCAGCACCCCCATGAATCAGGGGAGCGGCTCGGTGACCTCCTAAGGCCTCAGCCCCACAGGCTGGAAGCAGGAGGCGCCCCAGGAGTGCGCTGCCTAGCCTCAGTTTCCCCATATGCCGCCTGCACGGTGTTCCGGAGAACTTCCGGGAGACAGGAAGAACTTGCCTGGAGACAGAGGCGCCCGGGCGGGCGGCCGGGACGCCGTGCGCTCGGGGTCACGGCCAGGCACGGGGGACATCTGCTGCCCCCGGGGGCGCGGGCGCGGGGCCCTGGCGGGGGCGGGGGGACGGCAGGCCCGGCGCGCTTACCTGGAGTGGCGGCGACGGCGGCGGCGGGGCGGCCCGGCTCCTCCCCGCGCCGGGCCCTCCCCGCGCCCGGCCGCCCCGCGCCGGCTCGGGCCGGACGTCCCGCCGCCCGGGGCGCAGCGCGCCGGCCGCGGGTCCCCGGCGGGTCCTCCCGACCCCTTGTGCGTCCCCCTCCCCGTCCCCTCCCGCGGGCCACCCGAAGCCCTTATGGTCCCATCGCCCCCCTGCCTCGGGCCCCGGGGCTGCCCAGCTCTTCCTGGGGAAGTGTCTACGCGGGGACCGTGGGGCCGCTGGTCCCGTCCGGGACCAGAGAAGGCGAGGCTACAGTTTGCTCTTGGGGTCGGCTTGGATGGGGGCGTTGGGCCTGGATGGGGGGTGTGGGGGCGTGGCCCCGGGCGGGGCGTGGTCACTGGTGGGGGCGTGGCCCTGGCGGGGCGGGGCCTGGGTGGAGGGGTGGGCCAGTTATGAGTGGATGGAAAGTTTCTCTCCTGCGTCGGGTCAGGGAAGCGGAGCGGCCCCCGGAGCAGCAGCGCCCCGTGCGCGCGCAGCGGGACCCTCACTTCCGGTTCTCTAATGTCAAATGCGGTGTAGATTCTGGCCTGGGCACCAGAGGCTCCCGGGCCTGGGCCACCGTCAGATCACCTTCTCCCGGCTGTTTTCTGGCTTTCTATTCTCGCCAGTCTCCCCAGACCTCCACCTTGAACGTTTGGCCTTTGAACAACTACCATGTGCCAGGCACTGCCCTGTGCGTGTGTGTGTGTGTGTGTGTGTGTGTACACGTGTGTACAGGGTCTGGTGCTCTGACTTGGCTTTTTATTTTTATTGCTTTAGGCTGCAGCTCTACTACTGGAGCCACATCGCCTCTTCCTGTCTTTTGCTGGTTAACTGGAGATAAGAGTTTCACAGACACTCCTGTCCAAGCTGGCTTCAAATCCTGATCCTCAGATCTCAGCCTCCTGAGTAGCTAGGATTACAGGCCACCAGTGCCTGGCCCTGCTGTATTTTAATCTATGACCATGTTCATTTTTCTGCATGCTATGTCAGGCTGCCCCTTCTGGAATTTACAAGTTCTGTGCCTAGGCCCTAAGTACTGCCAATCCTCAGTACTGTCAAAATAAATAAATAAAAGTTCCCCATCTGGGTGCCCAGTCCCGGAGACTGTGCAAGGATCTGGTAAAAGAGTCTTGTTGCTCTAGCAACCCTGTGAATTTCCACCACACCCATTAACAAACAAGAAGCAAGCTTAGTTTCCCACTGAGCTGAAGCCACTGGCAGATCTAATGAGTGTCAGAGCCTGACTGTGAATCACAGTGACCTCAGAGGCTGCTGCTCTTTCTTCTGGTGAAGGCAGACAGGTACCCTGAGTGGTAAGGGATGAGTCAGAGACCAGCATTCCAGCTGGGAGCTTGTGACTCATACACCTCCTTATCTCCTGGCTGGCCAATTAGGAACAGAAAAGGCAGCTAAAGGGTTAGTGTGATGTTCAAACAAGTTACAGGATGCAGGCTGAAGAGGCTGAAGGGTGACCACTGAGCCCCTATGGAATAATAACCACATGGAACAAGCTACTGGTGGCTCATGCCTGTAATCCTAGCTACTCGGGAGGCTGAGATCTGAGGGTCACAATTCAAAGCCAGTCTGGGTAGAAAGCCTGTGAGATTCTTATTAACCAGCAAAAAAGTGAAATTGTGGCTCAAGTGGTAGAGCACCAGCCTTGAGTGAAAAAGTTAAGGGACAGCACCCCACACACAAATAACTGTACTGGAATGGATAACAACAGAAAACTTCTAGCTAACCCTCCTCTCAATAGCAAGTAATCCCTTCCTTTTAGCCAGACTGGTTGTGTGGGATCAGGTAGGACTATGGACCTGTGCTTTTTCCCATTCCTAATATGGCCTGCTTGCCTCTGGTCATTGGATCTAGTTATAGTCATTGTACCACATGCCCATCACTCTAGTGACCCTAACACAATCAGACCTGATTCCATAACGAAAGCTACAGGTAGGAAAAGTGGAGAAAATATCTTTATCTCTTTTGTTATGTTTTAGAGATTTTTTTTAAAGTGACTGACATTATAAAATGTACAATGTCATCTGTAAAATCAGGAAGATGGTTGTCCAGGACCTTTAATTTAATGAAGATTACATGAGTATGTTTAAAGTACTTTGAATAGGATACACAATAAAAATATTGCAAATGCAAGATACACAATAAAAATTAGTGGCTATTATCTCTGTTTAAAAAATACTTTTGAGCTTGGCACTTGTGGCTCACACTTGTGGTTTTTTGTTTTTGTTTTTCAGTCTAAGAATTGAAATCTAGGCCTGGGCACTGTCCCTGAGCTCCTTTTTCTCAAGACTAGCACTCTACCACTTGAACCACAGCATTACTTCTGGCTTTTTCTGTGATTTAATTAGAGATCGGAGTTAGATAGGAGATAGACTTTTCTGGCCTAGGCTGGCTTTGAACCATGATCCTTAGATCTCAGCTTTCTGAGTAAGATTACAGGTGTGAGTTGCTTCCTTTTTTTATGAGTTCTATTTCTATGGGATTGGTGTCTACCCTAATGACATTGTAGCTGGATCACTTCTAGAGCTATCAGTGCCTGGCTGGGCTATAAATTATATATATATATATATAATTTTTTTCTTCTTCTCCAGTCTTGGGGCTTGAACTCAGGGCCTAGGGCACTGTCCCTGAGCCTCAAGGCTTGTGAGCTACCACTTGAGCCACAGTGCCACTTCTGGCTTTTTCTGCATTATGTGGTACTGAGGAATCAAATCCAGGGCTTCATGTATGCTAGGCAAGCACTCTACCACTAAGCCACATTCCCAGCCCCGGGATATGTATTTTTAACGAGCTCCCTTGGTGATTCTGAGGATAAATCAGGTTGGGAACAAAAAAATTATTGGATTCAATTTTCTCAGAAATTATGGAAATGGGAAATGACCACAATTATTGTTTAGAGGCTATTGCTTTTGTAACTATTCCACTGTGTATACTTTATATCACTTAATTCTATGCAATATATACTATTGTTTAACCCTAGTTCTCAGTGAAGTCTGCCCTTGGCCAGGATTGCCGAACCTGAAGGTGTAGAGCCAGGATTTGAACCTAGGCTCAGCTAATTCTACTATCCTGCCCTCTCCTAGGCCTAAATATCAGTACAGGTTCAAAGACATTTAGATTTGTTGTGAATTCTGCCGTGGGGCCTGGCCTGGATCTTTGTTGAATGGAACTGAATTTACGGTGATGTTACTGAATCCATTATTACCTTCTCTTCAGGCTGGCTTCACACCATGATCCTCAGATCTCAGCTTTCTGAGTAGCTGCAATTTCAGGCATGAGAACATCAGTGCCTGGCTAGATCTTAATCTGGGAAATGCAGATCATAACTCAACGATTATGAAGTTATGAAGACTAAAGAAGACTTAGGGTCTGTAGGTGTTGGTTCCCATTCCTCCTATGAATTATTTGGCATTTGGGGGTCGCAGGGGAATTGCAGAGCTGCTTGGGGTCTTGAGCTCCCATCCACAATAATGGGAGAAGAAAGTAGGACCCAGCCTGGGGAGGCAATCAGACCATATGTTGAGCGTTCTGATCGCAGGATGTGGCATGAACAACTTAGATGAACTACTGGGGAATAGAGACTATGTCAGCTTCCTACAAGTGCTCCAGCAACATGCCAGAATTTCAAAGCCTTCATCAATAGAAATGTCTGGTCTGGCCCACCCCCTCTGAGAAGCTGGAAGTCGGCGATAAAGGGAAGAGCAGCATGGTCCTCAGGGCAGTGAGGGAGAAGCTTCTCTGGGCCTCTCTCCTGCTTCTGGTGATTGCTGGCCCTCTCTCCTAGTCCTGGCTTGCATAGATCACTTACATACACCCCCATGCCTTTTTTTTTTCCCTCCTAGGACTTGAGTTTGAATTCAAGGCTTCTCATGCTTGTTTATCTTGCTTGTTTGGCTGGTGCTCTCCCTTTGAGGCATGCTTCTAGCTTGGCTTTTTGCTCATTATTTAGGAGATGGAGTTGACCAGACTTTTTCAGCCACAAGCTGGCTTTGAACCTTGATCCTCAAGATCTGAGCCTCCTGAATAGATAGGATTAATGATGTGAGCTGCTTCCTCTTTTTATAAGAGTGCTGTTTGAAAGGAAACTGTAACCCAGGCAGAAAGTAACCCAAAAGACCACACGGACAAAAGTCAAGTAGAGGAAAAGATTTATTGCCAGCAGAGCTGACAAGGCCAAGTTCTCATGAGGAAAGGAGAAAATGGCACCGACTGGCTCCCTGGAGACCCCTTTTATATCGTTGGGGGCCGGAAGTAGGCAATGTCTCACCCACTGACTAGGCGCTGTCATCCAGGGCAGAGATTAGGTCTGCGAGGTGGGCATTTCCTTACTGTTTCTATGGGATTGATGTTTACCCTAAGGGCATTATAGCTGGATCACTTCTAGGGAAACCTTGTTCCTAAGTAAGACTGCCTTCTGAGTAGGGAGTGAGGGTTAGGATTTCAACATATTATTTTAGGGTGATGTAATTCGGCCCATAGCAGGTTAATTTTCCTTCTTTGTTGAAGATTAAATGTCCTGTCTGCTTCCATACACAGAACAGACACCAGTGTAGTTGTCAGATAAATAAATAGATTGATCTAATATTCCACAGTGTTTTGAATTCTTCAGAAGGTTTTTCTATTGGTCCCAGAGACAAGCCCCATTTTAGTATTTAATGAATGAATGAATGAATGAATTAATACTAAGTACTGGTTCTGGGCTCTCGGCTTTTTTTGTTGTTGTTGTTGGTCGTGGGGCTTGATCTCTGGGCCTGAGCGCTGTTCCTCAGCTCTTCAGCTTAAGGTGAGCGCTCTACCACTTGAGCTACAGCGCCACTTCTGGTTTTCTGGTGGTTTATTGGAAATAAGAGTTTCTCGGACTTTCCTGCCTGGGCTGGCCTTGAACCGTAATCCTCAGATCTCAGCCTCCTGAGTAGCTAGGATTACAGGTGTGAGCTACCAGCACCCAGCTTCTCTTGGCTTTTTAAG